TGATAAATGCTTATTGACTTGACTTCCCCACCTTTCTAGTGTCCATACCATGGATTACTTTGTGACCCACCCCCTGCCAGACCATAAAGTCCAGGAGTCAATCCATCTCTCATAAAATGCCACAGTGCTGGGCGCTAGAGGGACTGAGATTAAAAGAAAAAAGAGATAACATCCCGGGGCTTGGGGATCATACGTTTTACTCCAGGGCAAGGTCTCTTCTAATCTGTGGATGCCTATGGGACTCAGCAAAGTGCACTGTAGATGCTTAATAGATGAACGTGGCCAGAAAAGATCTGACAGTAGACAAAAAGGCAGGAGAGCTGTGTCCCAGCATCAGGCCCCCTCCACACAGTCCCCCAGGCACCCACTCCAGCAGCACTTCCAAGGTGGAATGCTGTCCATACAGCAGGCCTAGATGTTAGCAAAACGTTTGAAAAAGAATTTCAATCCAGAATCATTAAGTATACTAAGAATCAGAGAAATGTCTCCTATTGGTAAATGGTCAAAGGAAATGAACAGCCAGTTTTCAGATGAAGAAATTAAAGCTATCCATAGTCATATAAAAATGCTCTAAACCATTACTGATTAGAGTAAAACAACTATGAGGTACTGCCTCCCACCTATCAGATTGGCTAATATGACAGAAAAGGAAAACAATAAATGTTGAAGAGGATGTGGGAAAACTAGGACACTAATGCATTGCTGGTAGAGTTGTGAACTAATCCAACCATTCTGGAGAGCAATTTGGAACTATGCCCAAAATGCAATCAAGGTGTGCATACCCTTTGATGCAGCAATACCACTACTAGGGCTGTATCCCAAAGAGGTTAAAAAAAAAAAAGGAAAAGGACTTACATGTACAAAAAATATTTATAGCTGCTCTTTTTGTGGCAAAGAACTGGAAATTGAGGGGATGCCTATTAATTGGGGAATCGCTGAACAAGTTGCGGTATATGGTTGTGATGGAATACTATCGTGCTGTAAGAAATGACAAGCGGAGAAATTTCAGAAAAACCTGGAAAGACTCATATAAACTGATGCAAAGTAAAGAGAGCAGAAGCAGAGTACACAGTACTCCAGCGCACAGTAACAGCAATATTGTATGATGATCAAATGTGAATGACCTACCCATGATGAAAAGGACTCATGATGAAAAGCACTATCCGCTTCCAGAGAAAAAATTGATGGAGTCAGAAAGCAAATCAAAGTTTACTATTTTTCACTTCATTTTTTTTTTCATTTTGGTCGATTTCTTCTTTCACAACATGACTAATATAAAAATATTTCACATGATTGCACACAAATAACCTATATCAAATTGCTTACCATCTTGGGGAGGAGAGAGGCAAAAGGAGGGAAGGAGAAAATTTGGAACTCAAAAAGTTTTTAAATGAACGTTAAAAATTGTCTTTACACGTAATTGGAAAAAAAATGAGTATCATTTAAAAAAAAGAATAAGAGAAATTCACATTAAAACAACCCTGAGATTTAAGCATACTAGTATACCATTCATAGAACCATGACTTAGTACAATCATTTTGGAAAATAATTTGGAATTAAGAAAATAAAGTAACTAAAATGTCTATATCCTTTGACTCAGAGATTCCACTACTAAGCTTATACTCCAAGGAGGCCATTAAAAAAGAAGAAAGTTCCCATATACACCAAAATATTTACAGCAGTCCTTTTTGTGGTAGCAAAGAATTTGAAATAAAGTAGATGCCCATCAACTGGGGAATGGCTAAACAAACTGTGGTCCATGACTGTGATGGAATACTACTGTGCTTTAAGAAATGATACGTGTCAACACGATTAAGATGGAAATGTGCATGACTGCACATGCATAACTTCTGTCAAATTGTTTGCCTTCTCAATGAGGGCAGAAGAAGAGAATCTGAAACTCAAAAAAAAATTTTTTAAGAATGTTAAAAACCATTTTTGCATGTAATTGAGGGGAAAACAAAATATTAAATTTAAAAGAAAAAAGAAATAATGCATGTGATGAATACAGAGAAGCATGGAAAGATCTACGTGAACTGATGCACAGTGAGCCAGTAGAGCCAAGAAAAAAATAGATACAGCAAAACTACAACAACATAAATGGAAAAGAACCACCACAAACAATCAGAAATTACAAAGCACGAGCACATTCCCAAAGCCGAGGAGAAGTCACCCCCGCCACCACACTCCCTTACACGGAGGTCCACTGCTGTGGTTAAATCTCACACATACTGTCAGTCCTGTTAGATGCATAGCTCAGGTTTGGTGATTTTTTTCCCTTCTTTTTTTACTTAAAAAAAAACAACAACATTATTTGTTGATGGCTCTCTGGAAGGGGGCAAGGGAAGGGATAATGCAAAAAAATTCTGGTGATACAAAAAATAACGAATTTTTAAAGAAGCTTAAGTGGCTACTACTATGCTCCTGTGTCCTGGAGACACAAAGGCAAAAATACAACAATCCCTGCCCTCAGAGAGCTTACATACTACTACGAGAGACAATAAGACAAGGAGGAAAGACTGGGGTGGGGGGAACCCACCAAAAAGCACAGGGATGAGAGACAGGAGCACCTCCTACGAGGACCAACACGGCAGCTGCAGAGAAGGAGGCATGAATGATCAAGCCACAAAGACAGGTGTGGGCCGAGCTGTGAGAAAGAGGCATATGTGTTTGATCCTAAAATCGTGTGAATTTTGGGTGTAGGAAACACTGTGAGGTCCGTCCTTTGAACAATGTATGAACACAGAAGGTAGAACAGAAAGACGTGAAACCACATATGAAACCATACATCATTACCTCATATAGGTTTGCTTTTTCAGAAAAGTATAACATAAATTCAAAAAGTTACTTTCCAAGCTGTCCTGATTTTCTGTGTTTCCTTCTGGCTTTCTTTCTGTTCTCTCCCGTGCATTTTAAAAATGCTTCCTCCTCTTTCTAAAATGTGCATGACTGTTGAAAACTAAAAACAAATAAATTTTAAAAAAATAAGATGTCCATGATTGAATGTGCCACATCCAAAAAAAAAAAATCACAACTCATTCTAATAGTCAATAAACATTTATCGGGCACCTGCTACATGCCAAGCACTGTGCTAAGCACCGGGGATACAAGTGCACAACCTAACGGGTGAGACAACATGCAAACACGCACAAAGCGAGCTCTCTAACGATGAACAGAGGGAAGGGGCTGGGGGAGGCTTCCTGAATTAGGTGGATTTTAACTGACAACACAGGAAGCCAGGGAGATCAGCGGTCAGAGTGGAGGAGGGAGGGCATCCAGGCCCAGGGAGAGCCAGAGAAAATGCCGGACAGCTCAGGAGTCGTGTTCACGGAACAACCAGAAACGCAGCGTCACCAGCTCAGATCCTCGGCCCTGGTCAGGCCACAGCGGGAATGCTGCGTTTTGGGATGGGGTCCACTACATATGGAGGCAAGGGCTGAACTCTGGAAGCGTCTGGAGGAATGGGGAAGAGCCAAGTCTACGTGCTTTAAGGCTCAGCTGAGAAAACGGAGTGATCCCTCAGAGAAGACCAAGGAACGGCTGGATGACTGTCTTCAAGTATCTGGAGGGCTGTCTCATGAAAGGGGCTTCAGACACGTTCTCTTCGGCCCCTGAGGAGGGAGCCAGGAGCAAGCTCGGAGAAGGGGAAGCAGGGTGACAAAGGTCATTGAGGCCTGGTCGAGGTTAAAACAGAAATGATCCCAACGATGAGAGCGGTGCTGAAGCAGACCAGGCTGCCTCTGCAGACCACCAACTTCCCCTCCAGCGGCTCCCTCTCATGGATGGTCCGGGCCTAGATGGGAGCGGCTGGCACCAAAGAGCCCTTCCAGCTCAGAGTCCATGCCGCATGAAGGGCCTTGGTCATGGTAAAGTCCTACAGAAAGGTCAGCTGCCTGAATGAGGGGAGCTGATGGAGCTGTTCGGACTGCAGACCTAGTGGATGCGAGGCAGAGAAGCCTTCCTGAAGCCCCTCCACAAGCTGGTGCCCTCCCCGAGGTGACCGCGATCCTGTCTGTACCGAGCCGCTGGCCTGCTGCCAGACTGAGCTGGGGGTGGGGAGGGGCTGCTTCCGCCTTTCTGCACGTCCCAGGCTTAGCCCAGAGCCTGGCACGGTCGGTGCATAAGGAACGCTCGATGACTTTTCTGTGCACAGGCTTCTGAGGCCCAGGGCACAAGGCTGCTATTTCACATTCCTCCCATGTGGGGCTGGCACTTTTCTTGCATCATTACACAGCTCGTTACTGCCAGGTGTCACCGTTTCCCCATCAAACTGTAATTCGCTGCGTGCCGCTCCTCACACCCAAGGCCCCACTTTCGAGCCCTTTGCACACGACTCGCCACCCATCCTTAGCCTAGGCCCAGCCTGGCCTCCCTCCTCCCATCTGCCTCTTGGAATTCTTTTTTTCCTGCAAGACTCGGCTCACGCACTACCTCCTGAGGCTTCCGGTGAGGGCCGGGAAGGGGACACCGGCCTACACCTACCTTTATCCCCTACGTGTAGAATGCCAGCTCTGAGAAGGCAGGGACTGTCATTTCCTGTTGAACAAATGAACTGCGCTGTAACAAAGCCGGGGGAGCTTTAGGTTTGGAGTGGGAAGAGCCAGATTCAAATCCTGCCCTAGCTGTTTGTGGGGGCGTGGGTTAGGCACCTGGAGCTCAGTCCCCTCATCTACAAGAGCAGGGAGCTGGTCCAGAGCAGGGCCTGGACCTCTCTGGGGGTGCCCCAGAGGATCTCCCTCTCAGAATGATGTTTGTAAAGGGATACAATACATGGATCGGGTTACCAAGGAAACCCGCTCTCTGGGAATGTGGTGATCCATACATCTTCAAAGATGAATTTACAGACCCCGGTAAAGAACCCCCTGGTCTAGACCACCTCCAAGGCCTATGAGCTACACATCCTGGGAAGCAAGAGAAAAGGGAAGGAAAAAAGGCCAGGCCACAGAACTCACTCCAAACCTAGTCGTTCTTTTTTTTAAAAACATTTTATTTTTAATTTATGGAATAAAGCAAGCATTTCCATAACACTGCACAATAAAAACAATGATTGCACATGAAACTGCAAATCTACCATACACGTGTTACTCCTTCCAAATATGCAACACGGTTATTGTGCACGTTCTTTTTTCCTTTCTGTTTTCCTTCCCAAAGCTTCTAACAAGTTCCATTATCTGGTTTCCCAGACTATAGCAGGTTTGCTTTAGTGCCAGCACAAACAGCCTTCCCCACATCAGGATGCCGCTTCATGGATCCCTAGATCACAACCACATCGAATCACAGGAATGTACATGGGGAACGACCTTTAGAGACCATCTCATCCAAAGGCCTCATTTTGCAGATGAGGAAACTGAGGATGCCTTGTCTTTTAAGACAGAATTGATTTCTCAAGAAAAGAGGAGTTAATTAAGGAGAGAAAACTCTGGAGGAAGGTAGAAGAAGCACTGAGGAAAGGATGGAAGGCTGTTGAGTCAGGCCCTAAGAAGAAGCCAAGGGAGAAAGGGCAGGACAGAGGCCCCCAGGTGCCTGGAGCACAAGGCAAAATGGAGATGACAGTAACAAGAGAATCCAGCCTGCAGCAGATCAGGCCAGAAGGTTCACAGTGCTATCTCACCAAACCCTCAGAAAGAATCCCCTCTCCCACTCCCCTCCCCTTCAGGCTGTTGAGAGGGAAGCGTTCGTAAATGGTTAAAAAAAAAAAAGGTAAAAAAAAACCCAACAAAAACCTGGAGATCTTCTCTGGCCTAACTCTGAAGCCTTTCTAGAGAGAACGTATACATTATCATGACAGAGTTAGTGACGTCTCCCTCCTCAGGCTGCAGCTTCAGGTCAACAGGAATCATTAACAGCACTGCCATCATCACCATTCTTTAGACAGGGAAACTGAGGCTCAGAGAAATGGGTGAATGCAGATCGGCTACCTCAAACTTCTCCACTCCAGAGGACTCTGACCCAGTAGATGGATTGCGGGGGGGGGGGGCGCGCCAAGGCAGACTGGACCAGGAGGCCGCAGGGAGGGTCTGGGAGGTCAAGACAGAAGCCACACAAGTCCGCCACCCCACACACCTCACCCCAGCTGGGTAGAAACAATGGAACATTTGGAACAAGCAGACGTTTATTTTACGAAAAACTACTAGACGGGCCAAGTACAAAGCACCCCACTATGGAAGAGACAGAGTGACCACAAGAAGCAGTGGCTGGACAGTGCATCCGGCACTGAAGGCAGCAGCACCGAGGTGGGCAGCCTCACAGAAAATGAGGAAATCACAATGGTGGGCCCGAGGGACCACAGAAAAAGGCCTTTCCTTTAAAAATGAAAAACTCTTTGTCACTGCAGCGCCACCAGCAGGTGCCAAAGAAAGTGCCCGCATCCCGCCCCTGCAGACAGAAGCTTTCAGACTCTGGGGCAACAGGCCAGCGGGGCAGGCTTTCTGGTGGGCGAGGGCCTGGCCCCACTTACAAGGAAAACAAGAGCTGCCCTCCACGTCTCAGCAGATCAGAGGCCATGGCGTAAACAAAGGCCTTGGGAAATCCCCCTAAAAACCTCTTCTTCATAGAACAGTAACAAACGTCCAAGTGAGACGGGAGCACCCCATCTCAAGTGAAGAGCCCCTTCCTGGCTCCCGCCTTGGCTTTCTTGGAGGTGCCTGCTGGAGGCCCGCTCCTCTGGGCCGAAGAGAACCAGTGTGGAAACTTCCTCTTGGAGGCCTCTGGCACGGACTGTGGGGGAGAAGGAAGGGAGGGGCAGACAGGTGGAGGGGGTGCTGGGCACAGAGCACCTCAGGGCATGCGCAGGTACACATACACACACCCCTCACACCACACATCACACACACAGGTGCCAGGGGGCAGACAGAGCACTTGCAGAGCTCTGATAAACAGAGCTAAGGGTCTCAAGAGGCATACTTACAATATGGACAAAGAAAAGCCCCAGGGGTCTGCAGAGTGCTTTCCCTCTGTCACCCCGCCTGGTCCTCACACACAGAATTACAAAGGTTGCCAAGTGGCCCGAAACCATCATCAACATGTTTTTTTAAAAGTTCATGGCCCCCAAATTAAGAAGCCCTGCTCAGGCAGAAAGGGGACCCCAGACAGCCCGAAAGCCTTGCCTCATGTGGTTTCTACCGCCTGGAACGGAAACGAGGCCACTCATCGTCCCGCTACCTGTCCCTAGAACAACCTGAGAAGGCAACCCCAGGACTTGGCTTTCCGTGCCAGAGGAGTTCAGGCGGGCTAGCTGGGCACACGCTGCATTAATGCTGTTACTCAGCCCTGCAGGGGACCAGAGCTTCTATGCACCCCAACGTGAGCCCCAACTTTCTAGAAGAGGCAGGCAGAGGGCACATTTAAACTCCAGTTCCTTGAGAGAAGCCAATGGCGTGCCAGGACATTTTAATTTGGGACCTTACAAGGGGCTTTGCTCTGCTGTAAAATGTCCTCATATTAGCAGAGGATGCTCAGTGCACTGATAAAGTCACTTTCTATCAGAATCCACAGATGCTCAGGGTTAAGATGCACCCATCCTGGTCATCAAACTTGTGCACCAGACACGCCCTGGGAAATGACCCTGCCCAAACGCTCCCTCGTCCACTGACATATGCTGCCCCATGCAGAGGATCCCGTTACCACAAATGGTTTAAGTGCGAGGGGGCCACGGCCCCACGCCTGCCTTGTGGGCATCCGAGCAGAGCTCCGAAGTGCCGGGCACAACGCTGCCCATGCTCAACTCCTTTGGGAACGGGTCAGGGAAAGGGCTGCAGGCCCACCCTGGCAGCCTGACTGCCTGCCTTGTGGGCATCTGAGCAGAGCTCTGAAGTGCCGGGCACAATGCTGCCCATGCTCAACTCCTTTGGGGACGGGTCAGGGAGGGGGCCGCAGGCCCACCCCGGCAGCCCAACTGCCTACCTTGCTGGCACCCGAGCAGGGCTCCGAAGTGCCAGGCACAACGCTGCCCATGCTGGACTCCTTTGGGGATGGGTCAGGGAGGGGGGCTTCCAGCGTCCTCTCCTTTTCCATCAGCGCCACTGCTATCTGGATGAGGTAGGTTTCGACTTTGGAAGGAACCAGTGTCCTGATGTCCTTCATCTTGGAAATATCTGAAAATAGATGTCGCTAAGTGACGGTGGAAGAAAATATCCAAGCTTTGAATCACACGCAACAAAGCCCTCAACACAGGCATCCCTCACTGAGACGGTCACTTCACGTGAGAGAGGCCCGAGAGGCACAGGACAGCAGAATGACCAACAGCAGCCCCGGGCATCTCCAGAAGGAAACCACCAAGTACCCAGCACCTCCCTGGGACCCACAACCACCCTTTGTTCACAGGCGTAGAAAAATTTACCCCCACCTTTCCTTGGGTCCCCAACTCCCACACAGCCCTGCCTGACCTCTGCCCTTCTGGAGGGCCTGCCCCCACACCCACTGCTGATGCCCAGTTAATCATGGGGGAATGCTCGAAGAGCCTGCGTGGCAGGACTGATTGTGAACCTTGTCTCCAAGTCCAGCCATCTCCCCTTCCCCTTCAGTTCCCTCCTTCACCAGACACCCAGTCATCCACCCAGACCGTTCTACCCCATCTTCCCGTCTGTCCCGAATGTCCCTAGCTAATTGCCAGCATCCATGCCCAGAGTCCCTGGGGAATCGACTGACCCCTGAAGCACCCCAGGATCTCCCCCGTTGGTGGGTGACTGTGTGTGCCAATCCATCTCCAACCAGAGCAAGGGGGACGAGTGTCCCTTCACAATCCATCCCGCCTTCTTCCCAGGTCACCTCCCTTCCCTGGCCGTGATAATCAGATCGACAGCGCCACCACCTCTGGAAAGGACACATCACTGGGGATATCACTCCACACTCCCCTGCCTGGAACCACCACTCCCCTTCCCACAGCGTCTCTGCCATGAAACCAGAAGGCCCTTGAAAGAAGGGATCGCTCCTTTGGCGTAGGGTGCGGGTTTGGCATGCTGTAAAGTGTTTAATAGATGTGTTTTCATTCATCCTAGACTGGACTGCTGACTTCTTTGGAGCAGCTGTCTGACACGGCTAATGTGCTTCCAAGCACTCCTGGCCCAGTGCTAGGGGCAGTCTGCAGGCTCCGCACCGGACGCCCTCTCAACTCTCTTCCGATTTAGAATCTACGATTCTCTGAAGTCACGCAGCCTGAATGGCCTGAGGTTAATGGACAGGCCATGAATGGGGGGCTGGGGACTAGCACTTAGCATGGAGCCTAGAACAGTGAAGTCATTTCAGAAACGCTTGTTGACTTGACCAGCAAACAAAGGGTAGATGACAAAAACGTCAGGGCGTCAGAAAAGATCCATAATTCAATACCCATCTGAAACCTTCTCCTTTGGCTGAACCCAACTGGAGTTCTATGGGAGGCATGTTAGCTAGACTACGGAGTGAGTCAAAAGAGAGGCTGGACGCCCAGTACATCCAGTGACACAGCTGGCACAGGGATGGGGCCAGGGATGGGGAAGGGCTTTCAAGTCACAGAGGAGAAGTCAAAGGGAGCCCTGGAGTTCACTGATGCAGGGAGGAAGGTGGTCAGGCCTGGCCTCTGCTGGTGGGGGTTCTTTTACTTTCATTCTGGGCTCAGGGGATCCCCATCATCTCTAGAAGCGAACACATCTTCCTCCCTGGATCAGTGAATCATTTCACAACCTTCCATCACTCTCCGCGCTCACTCCACCAACCTGGCTCATTGTTCCCAGAGGGCAGGGACTGACTCTCTCTTGTCTTTGCACTTTGCTTGAAAACAGTCACCATGTTCTCCTCAAAGTTTTTTCCTTCTCCCTAAACATCCTAAGCTCTCCCAACGCATCAGCCTACTAGACACCCCAGTGCAATCCCACGGGGTGTCCAACCACACCTCTCAGGGGAGTGTTACCTGCCAAGGAGCTCAGCACACCAGCTTTGCTTCTACCTGGGCCTGATCAGGAATATCCGCCTCTCTCCTTAGGGTGCTGTGAGGCGGTCAGACCCTCTGGGCTCATGGCCCATGTTCCATGTCTGTCCTGTCTTTCTTGCAAGCACAGCATCAGAGCCTTTGCCAAAAGCTCTTTGCAAAACCATTACTAAAACGCACCTCAGCCCTCTGCCACCGTCTTTTCAAGGTCCCCCGATCCCAAAGGGATGATGAGAAAACTATTAAAAGAGTAATGGGACCCGGGGGCCTGCTTCACAGTGAGACAGGATTCTTAGACCTAGCTGTACAACACAATTGTAATACTGTCTGAGGAACCCAGCAAATGAAATGCAGCCTGGTTTTAGGGACCCGACACTCAGCTTGGGAAAAGGAGAAATAAAGGTTTTCTCTACTCCCTTCTAGGCCATGTCAAGCTGGTGCCTCTGTTAGAAGGATACCAGAAAAATGTCCGCCCAAAGAACACACAGACCCCTCTTTTAAGCTGCAAATAGACAGTGGCCCAGAAAACTAAAGAAGAAGACTTTAACTGTCTTAAATAGAATGTGTACAAAGGAGACTCAAGGGGGCTCCATTCAGGAAGACAACATAATATTGAATTACTGTCTGTTGACTGTAAAAACCCATTTGACTTGGCAGGGGAATACGCTGCCCATGAGGTTCCCCCACCCCTAAGGAGTCTCATGTGCACCTGAAGCTCGACAAAGAGACCCTGAAGGAGGCCACAAGGTGATCCTGGAGGTTAAAATTAAGGCATAAAACAAGGCCAAAGGGACGTGCTGCCGTGACAGAGGGTGCCCCAGGCAGAGCACAAAATCGCCCAAAGGAGGAGGGGGGTCTTCTAAATGTTCCTGTCTGTGGATTAACCCTGGGACTCCTGGCCCCAAGGCCAAGAACTCCGCAGATCTCTGCTGAGACCACTTAGCATGCCGCCCAAAAGCAAGCACCTCGTGGGGGTTGGGCCCAAGGGATCGGGCTGGAGTATGTTTGGGAAACTGATCCCTGCTTCTCTGAAGCAACAGCTTTGTGACCTCAACTTTCTCCCGGACTGAGAGCAGCGACCTTGCCTCACCTAAAAAAGCCTGCACCTCTACGATGGGGCAGCTGTGGCTAACAGCTCAGTACCTGCTCCGACTATTTCATCCTGCCTACCACGTGCTACAGCATGCCGGGACCTGGCTGTGTTTAGGGTGTCCCTGACTTTAAAGAATGGAAAAAACTATTCTAGAACAATCCAATTCAATAAAAATGTGGATTTGGAAATAAATTTTTCAAGTGCCTTTTATCCTCTGGATCAAAATAGAGTTACCCTAGAACAGTGCTATGCTGATATGAACAAATGGGGGGGGTGCCTTAGTTTCCCCACACATGAAAACAAAAGCAAGGGGACCATAAACATGTTCTTAAAAGAACGTACAAAAAATGACGGGGAGCTGAGAATAGCCAGGCGGGCCTGGGCCACTCTTCCTTTGGTTGATGGGTCCCTCAGTGACCACCCCTCCAGCCCTCCAAACACATCTCAGAAGAGCTCGGCCACTCTGTGGCTATACCCAGAACCTCCCAACCTTAGAATGACAGATCTCAAAGATGCTGAAGAAGGACCCAAAACTAACAGGGCCTATTAAAGACACCTGCACGTCTCCGTCCCAAGCAAGGCAATGCTAAAAACACAAACAAGCACCGTTCATAATAACATCTCACTCTTCCAAGGCATGTGACCACCATTAAAGTCAGGAGAGTGATGCAAGCGAACGACAAACCCATTCCCAAGCCATCGTGTTCATCAACACCCTGAAGTCTTAGATGAAAGAACCCACAAGACCGCTTCCTTAGGGTCTCCCAAACCTTCAGCTGCTCCCTACTGCCTCTGCCTTGTCCCTGACACTGCCCCCCGAGACAACGGTCCCCTGCGTGTGCCCTGACCACGGGGAGCCTAGACTCCATCTGCGCAGAGGAGCGCGTACCAAACATGTGCCAAGGCCGCGCCGCTCACCAGCCCTGCCCCCCCTCCAGGAAGTCTTTGGCAGCTCCCATGCCCAGGAATAAGCTCCCCTTGCCCACTGCAGACTTGGCAGGGCACTCTGCCTTCTCCCCCTCTAACGCATTCGGGTAAAGTGTGTTTCTAGTTAATGGGGCCTGCACCTGCCTCGTTCCAGGCTGCCGGCCTTCCGCAGGCAGGCCCACAAAGTCTGTCGAGCCTTTCCAACCACCCACGGCCAACGCAGGGCTCTGCAGACAGCAAGCCCGCGTCTCTCTGCTTCAGTGCCCGCTGCCACACAAAGGCTTCCTGAGCCAGGGGTGTCACTGCTCCCAGGAACGGCCTTCCCTCGCACTGCCCACAGGGAGCTGAGCTCAGGAAATGCAATGACAGTCACCACTGAGGACCAATGTGCCCAGAAAGGGGGTGAGCTAGGTCCATATCAAGAAGGAAACAGAGGCACTCCCCCGACCGCCTTGGGACCCTGAGGAGGCCACGAAGGAAAGCTTGGGGAAAAACGTGACCAAAAGAAGTGGAAATTCTGGATCTGCATCACACCAATGACAGTCATGGCCAAGCTCCAAGGGACCAAGCTGGCCTTAGCCCCCAGCAGGCTCGGTTTGGATGGGGGTGGGGGGAGAGTCACAATCAACGCTAAGGAAAGCCAGATGAGGAAATGTGCCCATCTCGAGCCGGGTCATTCAGGCACTGAAGCTGCTCGATTCAACCGAAATGTTTTGGTCCAGAGCTGTCATGTCACTAGAGTTCCAAGCTTTCAGGGAAGGACACTCCTTCCACCCCACTTCTGTCCCCCACAGGCTCCGAGGGGCCCAGGGCCCAGATCCTTTCCTCAGCCTTCCTCTGAGGCTCATCCCACCACGCTGCACCATGCAGCTGGCCCTCGTCTGTACTGAGCGCCCAGTACACATACATCATTCACAACAAGTCAGGACAAATGGAAGCCACGAGAGAAAGAGCACCGGACGAGGGCCGGAAGGACCTGGGTTCAAATGCTGACTTTCTCCTTCACCACCTGAATGGCCTCAGACAAAACACTGCCGTGCCCCAAGCCGATTAAACGTGAAAGCAGAGGGCAGAGCACACACTGTCTTCTTGCTCTGCATTCTATGCTTCAGCTAGTGAACGGGGGGCAGGGGGCTTCCCGCAGAGGAGGAGCCGCCAAAGGAAGCATTCAGACCGCGGCACAGAGGGGAGGTGAGGGAGCCTCCCAGAGCGCCAACGACGAAGGCAGCCACGGGGGCTGGGCGACTCACCTGAGTTGATGGGAGGTTTCCGGATCACATCGGTGATCATCTTCCGGACGTGCGGGGTCAGGCCTGCACGCTCGAGGTCCAGAGGGTATCCTGCCTTCACCACCTGGGATAAGTGACTGCCGACCACGGGGAGAGGCATCGTCCTGCTCTCGGCGATGCTCTCCTGGGAAGACGAGAACAAAGATCAGCCACGGCTTGGGCACACCAGGCGAAGGAGCGCCAGGGGCAGGGGGCACAGCGGCCCTGTCCTCATTCTCTGGGCAATCTTAGCTTGGCTGAAGTCCGCGCCCTTCTCCCCCCAAGGCCTCGTCCTCCCTCGCCACAGCAAGAGCTTCTCTCAACAAGCGGTCTTGGGGACTCAGGGCAGATGGCATCCCATCACCACAGATTCTGAAGAGTCTTCTGCCATCTATCATACCAGAGACTCTCCACGGGAAACTGACAACTAGTTTCCTTCTGGAAGCCAGAGACTGTAAAGGCCCTCCTCAGAAAGCAATGGCCCCCTTCCACGGCCACACTACAAAGGAATCACGCTGCTCCACGCGGGCCTCGCCTTCTGGGTGGTCCTCGGTTAGGTGCAGGCCGTAACTCGACATACCGCCCAGGGCATTCGCTTTAGGGGACCACAGGTACGTTCTCTGGCCAAGTCCACCAGGGGACAGCTTCTCCTCCTGACCCACTGACCCCCCCATGGCCGTGGATGGTCCTGCAGAGGGCTTGCTCCTCGTGGGAAAGCCACTACCCTCCCAGAAGACACAAGGGAGGTTTTAAATTACTTCCATAAACTTTTCAACCTTCCCTGCTAGACAGGGCACCATGTGTGTGAGTAATAATGCCAGGGTTATTTGATACAGGGCATCAAGTTACCACACACTAATTACACCCTTGCTCCTGAGTAATCAGTCCTTAGACATTTTTAATTTTGTGGTTAACTGACAAGTCCCCCTACTTCAGCCTCTTGGGAAGGGAAGTAATTGCACAACCAAATGCACCAAAAACAGTAACGAAGGGCACCTACAGTGGCAGCCGCACCCGCCAAGCACGGAGAGGGGGGCTGGGCAGCGGCCTCTGGACGGCTGCACGACCCACGTGCCTGGTCTGCGCAGGTCCATGACAGCAAAGTGCTCTGGAAACCTTCAAGCTGCCCAGCACGCCAGGACTCTTACTGTCACGTGACACAACACGCTGAAATGCACGCACACACCCCCCATGCGCCACACAGGTGGTCAGGTCCACAGAGAGCTGATTTTTCAATGTTGACTTTTGGCTCCTATTTTTAACAAATGTCACCCCTTCTGACCGGCTCCCAGGGGCACACTGGTTAAAGGGGTAGGCCTGGAATCAGGAAGACCCAAGTTCAAGCCCAGCCTCAGATACATACTAGCTGTGTGACTCTGGGCAAGTCATATACCCTCTGTCTGCCTCAGTTTCCTCATCTGTGAAAGCAGAAAAATAACAGCACATCCCTCTGTAAAGCGCTCTGTTGACGGACGCCATTCATAATCAGCCTAAAGGAAGACTGGGCTGAATCTTGACAAGTCTGGGAGCCTGTTCAGCCCCGTCTACACTGGCCCTTCCAGCACATAGAGTCTGGAGAAGCCCAGAAAGGAGACAGGCTGTCAGGTCAGGCTGAGTGAGAAAATCATTCGAGGGGGATGACTTCATTTCAGACCAGGCCTTCTTTCCAAAGAGACTCAGAAAAGTACATCATTCTTTTGGGGGGACACACACCCAGGCAAGCCTGATATTCTCAGGCCAAACTGAGGAGCATTGAATGGAGGTCTCTGGAAGGTGAAGGATTTTGAAATTGCACTAATTCTTTCATCCACGTTTCCCTAAATCCCTGTTTAGAACAAGGATCTTGATGATCCAGTCTCTGGGCAGCTTTCACGCCCCAACCACACAGTGGCCACCCACACGCGGCCGACGGTGAGGCCGGGGACGCTAACACAGAGAGTCCCACCGAGGCGCCCAGACGCAGCTCGTAGCCTTCAATGTCATCACAACACATGTGGGCACGAAGCACGGCACCGATCCCTGTGGACCCGAAGGCAGCACTCACCAAAGACATGTTCTTTTCCTGGAACAAAGAGTAAGTGATGGAGACCGACTTGGCGAGTGGTATGCGCTCCTGTTTCTTTGCGAGGCTGTCCTCCTCCGATCCAGGCGAAGGGCTGGATGACAAGTCTGTCTACAAGAGAAGAGAGCAGAGCACCAGTCTTGTCGGAAGCAAGCCAACAGCTCCCCAAGTTCCATCTGCCCAGAAACAAAGACAACGAACGGAGGGCAAGGGGATGCTGGAACGCAGGACCAGGCGAGAAAGGGATGGATTTGGGCCAACCCATATCCGCTGGCTTACGGGGCACAGGGAGGCAAGGGCAGGCCTGCCGCCTCACAAAGGGAGAGCTGGGCATCTAGTCCACCGCGCCACCAAGAGGGAACAGACCTCCAAGAGGGGAGGTGACTGGCCCAAGGTCACCAAGGATGGAAGGGACAGAGGTAGGATTGGAACACAGCTCTCATGCTCCAAAGCCAGCCCTCTCAGTAGACTACGCCACTTCTCTACAAAGTCAGAGTCTTCCCTTTGGCCCTGACGATGGCATGACAAAGGATTTCTAGCTGTTAACGCTTGCTTTTATTCTAAACGCCAAAAAGCAACACAACTTTAGAAGGTCAACAAATTGAAAACCTCCCTTCCTCACAACGGAAGCAGCTGGCCGAAGGGAAGCACCTTGGAACTCCTGTCTTTGTGACCAGCGTCTTTTCCAGAATCATTGTTGCTGTTCTTTTCTTCCCCAAAGAACCATGAGTCTATGAGCAAGAAGGTCCTTGGAGGTCGCTGAGGACAACATTTTACAGATGGGAACCTGAGACCCAGAGGGGGAAAGGCACCTGCCCCAGGCCCCAGCTTGGGCAGTTTAAGCAAAGGCGGCGTTCAGACTTGAGTCTGCTCGGCTGTCTGGATGGCCCCACGGTTAGGGCCCAGGCCTGGAGTCGGGAAGACCGACCCTCACATTGGGCCCTGGTGCCTTGCAGCTGTGTAACCCATGGGAGGCACTTCAGCTGTCTCTGACTCGATGGTCCCCTCTCTACAACGGGCACCATCATGGCACCTCTCACCCAGGACAGCAAGATCTGTAGGGCACTCAGCACAGCGCCCGGCCCACAACACTGGCCAGCTCCCTGCCCTTTGCTCCCTCCTTGACCTGCATTATAGCCTAACTCTCCCACTTTTATTCTCCCCTCCTGGTCACCTCCGGTGGCCAATTACAGTCCTTTACCTTCATGTACTGGTGAAGCCTGCTGGTCACTACATAGCAAAGGAAGCCTCCAGGTATGTGGAGGGGCAGGGCTGGGATGGTCACCAGCCATCACACTCTGGGAGGTGGGTACTGTAATGATCCCCACTGTAGAGATGGAGAGCACTGAGGCAGGCAGACAGGATCTGAATTCCGGTCTTCCTGACTCCAGGCCCATCGCTCTACCCACTGCACCCCCTTGGCCCAATGATCGACGAGGATCCATATCTGAGTCCATCAGGAGGGTCAGGGCAGATGTCCCAATCCAAGGAAGGACAGAACGGATGACAGTGGGACTCATTCTGGCCCAGACCCAGAGCTCACGAAGCTACCTAGGGGAGAGCTCAGGGCTCTTTCTTTCTTTTTTTAAAGAGAACCAAATTCTGCCAGGGTCTGAGAAGTACGTGGAGTGGGAGAGACACAAGTTGGCCCAGACCATCAAACATAAACAGGGCAGAAAGTGCAGACACCATGGCCCTTGTCAGCTGGAAGGAAAGGGCTCAGAGGGCAGCGAGTGAGCAGCTGTCCTATGCATGCACGTCTCTCTCCGACCTCAACACTCTGGCTTCTTTGGCTGTTTCCACAAAAACCCTCAGGGTCAGCTCTGTTCCAAGCCCATTCTACAATCTACTATGGTTGTTGGGCGCCCCTACCAGACAAGGGTCCCTGAGTCACGCTAGTCTGGGAATCCAAGCTGCCATGTAGATGTTTTGCACGTTGGCAGGAAGAAAGCCAGGTCCCTCTCTGGTGCATCCGAAGCACCCCCAGGCTACCTGCCCAAAAGTGAGAATAACCTCACTCCTCAGGAAAGCCTAGGACCATGATCTTCACCCAGGGTGCTCAAGACAAAGGCCTCCTGGGACTAGAAAGCATGAAGAGGAAGGGATCCAGAGTCCGGGCTCCCCGGGGTCACGTGACCAGGCCTTGACCCAAATCACCTCTGGGGAACTCTCCAAGGTGCTAACAAAAGAGGGCAGCCTTGAGTCCTCTAGCATGAGAGCCAGGTTGGTTCCCAACCTCCAGAGAGGACTATCTAGAGTGAATCTGACAAGCCTTGGAGAGGAAATGCAATCTTGAAAAAAAGGCTTACTATATCTACGGCATTTTACAAGTCAAACAATGGGTTAACTGTGTCGTTCTGACAATCTTATGAGTTAAAAAGAGCTCTCTCCTCAGGCTCTTCATGGCACTGATGAGAAGGACCACATCCTTCCCCAGTACATTCAGTAACTTTGTCAGGCTTCATTACGTTTGAGCATCTGCATTTCAACCAGCATCACAAACAATGAAAAACAGTATTTCTGCTCACAGGAAGTTCTCAGAGGCCCCCCAAAGCCTGGAATCTGCCTCCAGAGCTGGAGAGTACTTGAAAAGATGCTTAACATTTACATTCATGAAATTCAGTCAAATAATTTTCCCCTAAGACTTCTTAACAGGCTCCTGCTCACGTCCTCAGCTACAGAATTCTGATTAGAAGCAGAGGGACAAATACTGTCACAAGGGTTCTCTCTAGATCTCACAGACTCTGTCCCTCCTTTCTTCTACTTCCATAAAAGAAACTTAGACACACAATGAAATCTCACTTATGATGACCCTAAAAATGTCTCCTATTTTTAAAAAGAGAAAGCATCAAAACTGTTGTTATTTAGGCTCTTGGAGATATTATTGACGAGGAAATGTCAGTCCTAAGACATAAACTAATCATCCCCTCCCTATACAGACAACACAACCTTAAATTAGCTGCCCATAAACCTTTCCAGGGTTAGGAAATAAAGTCTCCCAGAAGCACCTGGGACTAACTAGAGTGCTTCTCCTGACACTGTTCACAATGACAAGCTTCTGAAACAAAATTTAAAAACCAGCAAATATGGGAGGGGAATGGTGGGGAAAGAGTGGAAGGGGGAGCATGCTTTTCTTTAAAGGAAAAAAAACATGAAAATATAAATTGGACTCTATCCATTCTCCAATTCAATCAATCAATCAGCAGTTATTAGATGCCTAGAATGTGCCAAGCACTGTATTAAGCATTGGGTATATGAAGAAAGAAGTGAATCAGTCCCTGCCCTGAAAAGAGGTGACACCAACAGTACCCATGCCAAAAGTTCCCCAATGAAGATGAGGGCGACAGGGAAGGAGGGGGTTCACAGATGGCAGAAACAAGCAGGCCTCCAAAGAAGCCAGGCCTAGAGCCAAGCTCTGAGGGGACCTTGGATTCCAAAAGGTGGTGAGGTACAGAGACGGAGGCAGGAGCGCCCTGTATGGGGACAGACCACAGTGGCTTGGACAGGACAACAGCGTGTATGAAAGGTAACAAGGAAGAGCTCAGGAAAGGTAGGATGAGGACAAGTTCAATGGCGGAGTTTATCCTTGATCCCAGAAGCAATAGGGAGCTTCAGAAGTTTACTGAGTAAGGGAGGTCGCCACACCTGAGCTTTAGGAAAATCCACTTGGTGGTTGTGCAGAGGTTAGTTTGCAAAAGATTCTGGAGGCAGGGAGTCCAGAAGGAGGGTGACGTGTCCTGAGCCAGGGGAGATGCCAGGGAAGAAGAATCTGTAAGAGCGAGCAGCTGATGATCCAGAGATGGGAGAGAGTGACAGAAAGGAGTCAGGGCGACTGCAAGGGCAGTGGTACCTTGGACAGGGAGAGGGGAGGTCTGAGGGGAAAAACCCTAAGCTCTGCCGAGAGGACGGCCAGTCCTACGTGCCCAGCAGGTACCGGTGTCGACCAAAGACTGGGTCCGGCCACACACGAGGAGTCAGCAGAGATGACCATGGGCATTCATGGGGGTGAGGAGGTCACCTGCATCATACTGCAGGGCAGGGCTTTCCACCTACTGCTACCACAGACCCTGGGAGCAGCAGGCTAGTGAAGCCCCTGGACCCTGCCCAGAAGAAGGCTTTTAAATGAAAAGAGTAAAATGGAGAAGACTCTGAAGGAAAGCAATTGTCTTGAAATACAGTTAACAGAATATTTAAAAAGCAAGTTCATGTATGCCAGGTGAAGAAGCCCTGGAGTAGAGAGAGAAGATCGGGATGATTCTTGAGGAACAGTCAAGAAACAAGCATTTATCAAGCACCTATTATGTGCCAGGCACTGGGCTAAGCAGATACAAAAAGGGGCAAAAGACAGTGCCTGCCCTCAAGGAGCTGACAATCAAACGGAGGAGGCAAGAAGTAGGCAAATAGCACAAAAAGCTTGAAGGAGGATAAGCAGGACATCATGAACGGGGGAGGCCCTGGAATGAAGAGGGGCTAAGGCGGGACTTAATGGAAGCCAGGGAGATCAGAGTCAAAGCCGAGCAGGTAGAACATTCCAGGCCTGGGGAACGGCCACAGCAATGCCCAGGACTGGGAGATGGAGGGTTGGTGGGACAGCCAGGAGCCAGTAACTGCGCTGGAGAGGACATCTTTGGGAGGAAGGTCAGGAAGGGTCTGGATGCCAAACTGACCATTTTCTACTCGACCCTGGAAGTGACTGGAAGCACTGGAGTTAACTGAGGAGGGAGGATGGCATGACCAGACCTGGGCATTAGGAAAATCATCCTGGTGGCTGAACAGAGGATGGGCTGGTGCGAGGAGAGACCGAGGCAGGCAGCCCCCCAGCAGCCACTGTGCTAGCCCAGGCGTGAGGCCATGAGGGTCTGCCCTGGAGGGGGTGGCGTCAGAGGAGGGAAGTGGGTGTAGTTAAGAGATGAGACAGAGGTGGGATGGACAGCGCAGAGAGTGAGCAGTCCGTGACCTGTACTCACTTCTACCAAGGAGAGCCCCCCACAGATCCTTGAGCCAGAGAGCCCCGTGCCCACCACCCAGGCGCTGAAAGCCCTTTCTGTTCCGACACCGCCTGAGCCCAAGCACATCTGTTAGATGCCAGAGAGAGGCTGGGCTGGAGAACAGGCCGCGGGGTGGGGGGAGCCCCACCCCCATCAGGGCGGCCGCTCTGTGCATCTCACCAGAAGCTCGTTTGTCTGGCTGAAGGCTCGGATGACTTCCAGAAGAGGGGCGAGCAGCACGCACTTGGCCTCAGAAACGCCTTCAATGTTTTTCAGACTTTCCAAGGTACTCGGCCTGTTGAAAAAGACAAGATGAACCTGAAGAAGGCGCCGCACCTCTAGGCTCGGCGGGAGCTGACTGACAACGGTTCCGTGCTGATCCTCACAAATTAAGTGAAAAAAGTGTTCCCAACTGCCGAAGCCCCTCGTCCCCAGAGGTGACAGGTTAAATCTGGGCTCTCTCAACATTTCCGGGCCGTGTGGTGGCACAGGGGCAGTGCTGGGACCAGAGGCGGGCAGAACTGACTCCCTGACAAGCTATGGGAGCCAGGGCAAGCCATTCACCTCTGTCTGCCTCAGTATGCCCCTCTGTAAAATGGGGATAATGATGGCCCCCACCTCCCAGGGCTGTTGTGGGGAATCAGACGAGTGACATCTGTAAAGTGCTCTGCAGACCTTATGGCGCCGTACAAAGGCCAGCTATCGTCATCGTTATTATTAAGTAAACTCCACAGAGAACATGCGGCAGTTTCACTGGAAACATGTCCAACAATTAACAGCCAAATAGCGCAGGTCAACAGTCTGAGGAGTGTCTCCTTGCAGGACCACTAAGGGCCACGAGTTGGCCAAATGCTGTGCTGACACAACCCTGGGGCTGGGGCTCACTCAGCCTGACGGGACACAGGAACAGGAGGGAAGGAGCTGGAGAGGTGGGGCGACAAAAAGAAGGGTGAACGGGCTTGGCCCAGGCGCCCAAACCAAGCAGACAAGGACGTCATCTGATGCGCCCACATCAGCAGGTGACAAATCTGGAGCTGGAAGGAGGAGCAAGGACCCCCCCTCCAGGACCCCGCCTGGGCCTGGGGAGCCAGCCACACTCACTGACACCCCGACTCTCCGGGGGGGGGACCCAGAGAATGTGGTGGGAAGGGGGGTGGATTTCAGTGTGGCCTGGTCGGGTAGGCACACTTACAGCATGGAAAAATGGCAGACAGAGCTGGGGGCGAGGCGAAGGTCAAGGCTGTGCAATAAATGGGCACAGAGGGCAGGAGGAGACACCCAGGGCCCCGCTGGGGTTCCCAGCCTTGAGCTCAAGGTGCTGGGGGTCAGAAGAGGGAGCTGTAGGTAGCAGGACCCCAGGCAGTGAAGGGGCACCCACAGGACCTCGGGCAGCCACGAGAATTCCCCTCACAGGTGGGGTCAGGGAAGCCAGAGGACCAGACGAGGGATGAAGTGCACCGTGTGCCGCGGTGCGGGAGGGAAAGCAGCCAGCGTGAATAGGCGGCCCTGCCCCCTGCCAGGCGTGTCCACACTCACCTCATCTTGGCCATGTCCACCAGCACCTTGTTGGTAGCCAGTAAAGCTGGAGGGATGTCCTTTTCACTGGCCTGCTTCTGCCTTGCTTCCATCAATTTGCAATACAATGCAGTCTGGGCAAAAAAAAATCACAAGGCCTACAAGTCTCAACAAAGCACATTCCGAAAAATACAAAAAACCAACAGTCTATCCACAGCCTTAGGGCCTCAGCCAGCACGTGGTGCCAGCATGCAGCAGATCAAGGCACACGCCTGGAGTCCCAGACTCCCAAAGGGAACGTGGAGGCCAGCCCACACAGAGCCAGAATCCCCCTTCAGCACACCTGAAAAAGGTTCGCCCAGCCTTGGCCGAGGAGCCCAACCCCATCTGACTGACATGGCCGGGCACAAACACCAACGTCCACACGTGCATGATCACGGACGTGTTTTAGTGAACACTGACATGATCCTTTCCTAAGTGACAGTGAGCCAGGGCCCTAAACTCTCGGGGCCTCAGCTTCCTCCAAACTGTAAAATGAAAGGTCTGGGTCTCTTAGGACCTTTCAGACAATGACAGACAATAGTGGTGCAGACATCATCAACCCTCTGTTACAGATTATCCAACAGGCTCAGAGGGGTGGGGGCGATTGGCCAGTGTCACCCAGCCAATCAGAGTGGGGCACAGAAGTTCTGTCCCAAGGAACAACCTCCCTGCCTCGCCCTGATTTACCTGACACTCCTCCTCTTTGGATGACACCGATGCTGGGGAGTCAAGGGACCCAGGAAGCGGAAGAGGAAGAGGCTTTGCTGGCGACGTTGGCCAAACACTACATGAGTCAAAGGAAAAGATACTTAAGGTGAGAGTGAGACGAGGCATTCATCCCCCACTCCAGAGACAGGCATCTGTCCGGCAGCCAGCTTCCCCTCAATTCTGTTCACCGAGGCTCCTCGCTTAAACACCACTGCCTCTTTGTGATGGTGGGAATCCAGCAGGCAGGCGTGTGACCGACATTCAAAACCATCTGTCACCAAAAAGCCAGCTTCTACGTGAATGGATGATGAGCATCTCATCGTCAACTCGCCCACAGAGGAAAGAAAATGCTGTCTTAGCCAAAACCGAGGGGGAGCAGAGAAACCCAGGCCCAAAGCCCTCGAGAAGAGACGAGGCGGAGGCTCGACATGGGCATTTAGAAGAGGTTCACATACCGCAATTCTCCTCTAGTCTGACATTTATCAGCGTACTAAAAGCTCAAGTCCTTTGCTTCACTTGCTTTTCCAGAAGGCCTGGGGAGGCGGCCTCTACAGGAAGAATGGTCTCCGTTTTATAGAGAAGGGACTTATGTTAGCACGGAGACAACCTATAACCCACAACTCTGATTCCAAGTATAGAAAAGCCAAAATATACAGTCAGTGAACTTTAAATTCATGGAGATTTATGGCCTCGAACTCGAGGAAAGAGTAATTCAGTTTAAGGCATTCTGGAGTGAAGAAGAAAACAAAAGTATTGCGGCACTATCGTGGTCTACTGAGAGACACTTACTGAGTCAACTAAAAATGAGCTGAAACAGTGATTTTATACAATTGGAATTCGGTTCTGGTTGATTCTCCCCTCCTCCTCCCCCCAGACTGCGAGATTCCAGCCTTTGGGTCCCTCCAGATGGATGTTATCGTTCCTTCTAGCTCGGTGTAGCCTGCTTAGCATGGCATCAATAACAGGCCCATGGCCACACACGGCCTGACCAAGAGGGCGTCCTCTTGCTCCAGTGATCCTGCTCCACTGTTACATACGGGAGAGTTGTATTCATGGTCCTTGACCTCTGGATGAGACTCGTTTCCTTGGGCCCCAGGGACACTGCTCACTCCCAGCTCTCTTCTCTCTTTCATCGCCTGCGGCCTAAAGGTGGCCAAGGCCCAAGAGGGGCCTCTGGGCTCCTCGTCTAACCTCTCCACACCACCTTGCCAATCTTGTTCACCCTCCAGCTCTCTACCTCTACCTTCCCACATCATCCACCTCACAGCGTCAGCTGCACTGTACACTGGACTCCTCTAACCGGATACCCCAGCCCTGCCTCAAACGATGAACTCATCATTTTCCCCACTGAGCCGGCCCCCTCCTACCCTCCTCACTGATACCAACGGCCCCAACATTCTCCAGGTACCTTGGCTTAAGGGGGGAGGAAGGAAGAAAGGAGTCCTGTGGGATTTCTGATTCCGCCCTCCCTCAATGAGCTGCCACAGCACAACCTCAGGCTCCATCACCTCCTAGCTGGATGACTATAGCAGTCCTGGGGCATCCCTGGCTCTCATCTCTCCTACATACAAGCCCCCCTTTCTGCTGATGCTTCACCTAAACCTTCCGGATCTGGAAGGAAGCAGCGTGAAAAGCGTGCCCAACACTCTCCAGGCTAGTGACGGGATCACCCTCCCTCCCAAGATCCTCAGACCTTTCCCAGCTGTCTCACCTGATCCTGCCGCCACACGGGTTGCCCAGATGCTGGCCCCCCTGCAAGCCCTCACCATCGCACACCTGCACTATTTATTTTGCAAGAGCCTGCTGGCTGGTCTCCCTATCTCCAGCCTCTCCCTATTTCAGTCCATCCATCACTGAGCGGTCTTCCAAAAGCACAGGCCTGACTGTCTCAGTCTTTACTCAGTAAACTCTAGCAGTTCCCTGTTACCTCCAGGAGCAAATATAAAATCCTCTCTTGGGCCTTTAGAGCCCTTCCTATCTCTCTAGTCTTCTTCTACCTTACTCCCTTCCACATCCCCCGCAGCCTAGGGCTACCGGCCTCCATGCTGAAAGGAACGCTCCATCTCCCAACCCCTGACGTCTCCACAGCCATCTCGCAGGCCTGGAATGCTCTGGCTCTTCGTTCCCCTCTGCTGGCTTCCCTCAAGTCCCAGGTAAAATCCCCGCCTTCTGCAAGAAGCCTCCTCCAGTCCTCCTTGACCTCGGTGCCTCCCCTCTGCGGCCCCCCCCAATTTAACTAGTCTCTATCTTGTTCCTGCGCAGTTGTTCGCAGGCCAGCTCCCCCGTGAGACTGTCAGCTGCATGAGGGCAAGCAGGGGCTGTCATCATCCCACTGCAGCATTTCTCGCCAAAGTTACCAGCAATCTCTTAATGGCCAAATCAGGTGAAGGTCTCATGGATCAAACATGTAGAGAACTGAGCCAAATTTAAATATTCCCCAGCTGATAAATGGAACAGAGGACACAAACGGGCATTTTTCAGAGAAAGAAATCCAAGCTGTTGATGGTCTTATGAAAAAGTGGTCTAAATCACTAATAATGAGAGAAAGACAAAGAAAACAGGGAGCGGCTAGAAGGCGCTAGAGCGCACAGAGCGCCGGGCCTGGAGTCGGGAAGACCGAGGTGCAAATCTGACCTCAGACACTGACTAGCTGGGTGACCCTGGTCAAGTCACTTCCCCCGTCTGTCTCAGCTCCTCATCTGTAAAGTGAGCTGGAGGAGGAAATGGCAGACCACTCCAGTGTCTTTGCCAAGAAAACCCCCAATGGGGTCACAGAGAGTCTGGCACGACTGAAAAACAACTCGACTTTCTCAGCTCTTTGGATCATGACACCACGCTCCAGCTCCCCACCGCCTCCAGTCTCACGTTCTGCTGAAGGAAGAGCCTACCCTAGATGCCACAGCGAATGCTCCCAGAGTGTGGTCACAGGACCCCAGAGGGCAGGGGCCCAGTCCCAATCTAACAGGGCTTTCCCCAGTCTACGCAGCCAGTCAAATTCCACTTCGTGGTCCCTCAGTCCTTAAGTTTCAGAGCTGCTGTGCAATGAGGCCAAAATATGAGCCGAGGACCCTGAGGAACAAGGCTTGGAGGCCTTTCCTCCCAGGGATGATGCTGTCTCTGGTGGTCCCTGACTGCAACCAGCCCTCTGCCCCCTGGGGCACTTAACTGGGATGGCTGATGGAGCCTCAGTTACTCCAAGGGTCCTGGTCCCAACAAGGGACCATAAGGAGATGGCCTGAAGAGAGTGCCCAGACCAGAGGGATGGCGTAAACGAGGCGGCCCCTTCATCAAAGGACGCGTAAATGAAGCGTGTCTGGTTTGCCAGGCAGTTCTCTATCTTGTGGACTCTACCAAGCATAGTTGTCATTGGCACCATGAAGGCCCAGCACAAAACTTTCTCCCATTTCCTAAGTACACTGACCTCTTTACCAACCATAGAATTGGAGGCTTACAGCTCTCTCTTGCACAATTTATATCTGCCATAGGAAAATCCTCATTTTTTCTTAAAAAAAAAAAGTGGGGGGAGAACCCATTGTACAACACAAACCCCCACATATTAAAAACTGTTAAAGATTACATATCTTATTAGGGTTATCATTCCCAGAAGAAATGTTAACAGTGCTTTTATAAGAACATATTTTCTGCAAGTCTTCCTGGTTTAAATATACACAAATCCCATTAAAAATATAAATTGTGAGATCTGAAGAAATTAACAGTTTTTTAAACTTTTAAAAAAATGCATTCAGAAACACACACACACACACACACACACACACACACACACACACACACAGCAGTTAGTCATGAAGAAGGGCAGCAGCCCACAGCACTAGAACTGCAACTATCTGAAACTTTGGATCAATGAGATAATTTCTCCCTTCCCCCTGCCCCACCCCCCCATCTCCCATTCCCCAAGACAAGCTCTTTGTCAGCTCGACTTTCAACGTAAGGAGGAGAAAGCAGCAAGATCAGCACTTGGCTCAGGACAGCTCCTATCGGCCTGGCCTCTCCAAGGCTACCCCAAACATGAAAACTGCTGCTGCCTGCCATGGGAATGAGACTCAGGCCAAGCACGGAAGCTCAGCGCGTCAAAGGCTCTGGAAAGAATTTCAGACAGGACTGAAAATAAAAGATAGAAATTCTGGTGAAGAATAAATTAAGCAGAAAATTCACAGATCATAAGAATTCTCTGGTCCCACATTCAGGTTAATCAAGGTCAAGGCTATAATTAAATTAAGCTCTATAAATATAGAATATATTTATAAACATCTAAGTAAGCATTACTAAAATTAAATCAAGCTCTAAAAATTACAATAAAAGCACTGAATGCAGAGAATCCCAATGAATCCTGAGCTTTTCTCAGAAAAATCTAAAAATGTCATCTACCTTTCATTGTGAACCTACTCTTGCCTGCCTGCCACTTGTGAGCATGCAGGCTGAAGCTTGGGAGCAATCTCTGCTCTCACTGACTGAGACGCTGCTAAACTCTCATTCAGCCCTGAAATCTCGGACAACAGAATTTAGAGCTGGAAGGGACTTTCGACATCACCCCTCCCAAATGCCCAGATGACCTCGATAGAAGCAAAGAACAAAACAGGAAGGGGAACTGCAGAAGGTTGGACAGGAAGCAAGCAGCAAAGCCAGGATTTGAACTCAGGCCCTGTTTCTCCGAACCCCAGGCTGTCTCCTTCCACAATAGACTTCCTCCCCTAGTGCTCTTTAATCATCATAACCCAGGCCACTGAAATCCCCCAGGGAAGGAGAAGCCACGCCCCTGGTGCACCCACTCAGACGACCGCCATCCACTCCGCTTCCCTGGAGAAGATGTCAGGCCACAGAAACCCACATTTGGAGAGCTCTCCCTCCAGATTTCGAGCTTCACTACTTCATGTCTCCTTTCTCCCATCAAGACAAGTTACACACTTTGTTCCACAGCTAATCTTCTCGATGGAGACACCAAAGACCTTTCCCCTCACCCCCTCACCCTTTAAAACAAGCCTTCTTCAAGGAAGCTGGCCCTCTGTCAGAGGAATCCTGTTCTATGGACGCAAATCTTGTTGTAAGACTATTCACAATAAAACATGTTAGGTCAAGTGTTCAACTAATTCTGATTTCAGACACTCAGCCTTTAGGTCCTCACAAACTCAGTATAGCCTCAAACCTCCACGTCGGCTCCACAAATGATGGCTTATACTCTCTGCTCAAGGAAGGAGAAGATTTTTGCCTTTTTTTTTTTTAGCCTACTCAGCCAAATCTCTGAAGAGCTCAAGAAGGAATTGAACAAACTATTACAACTGGCAAAAATGCTAAAAGGTGGCACCAAACGGATTCCCTTTCACTCTATGACACAAAGGAGGAGATCCACGGCTCCCCCACCATCTCCGTCTTCTGTAGTGGGAAGATGTTGGTCACATGTGCTGCGTTCTCCAGCACCTCTCCCCACCCACACCCTGCTCCCATCCCCTGCAGTCTAGTAAGCATCCTGGTGACAACCTAAACAAAGCTAAAACAGACGTTTCCTGGGCATCCTGCTGTGAAATGATAACATCCAAATGACTTATTAGCCAGAAAATCAATGGAATTTTTAAAAAATGAACCTTAGTTTTAGTAATTTCCTCGGACATAGGTCTTCACTGGCGTGAAGGAGGAGTGTTCGGGCTGATTCATCAACGGCTTTGTCCAGCCAGGATCTACCCTATAAAACAAAAAAAAAAACCTTCAGTCAGACAATAAGCATGTATTACATGACTATTATATGCAAGGTTTAGATGATAAGCATTTATTATGTGCCTGCTGTATGCAACCCCTGTACTAAGTACTAGGCCTTTAAGGAGCTCACATTCTAATAAGAGGTCCATTTAACACACTGTGTGTGTGAACACAGAAATATAACAGAAAGGCCAACTTCTACACTCTTACCTCCTTTGTAAGGACACACAATTTGGCAAACTTCTTGGACCCTGCCTTTTCTTCCAAAAAACCCTCTGAAATAAGATGCCGAGCCAAAGCCTTCCACCAGCTCTCCAAATGGTCCTTGCCACCACCAAAGAGACGATGCTGGCGGAATTTATCAGGAAGACGTTGAGAATTCTGAAATCAGGGGGAAAAGTCATTATCTACAAATCTGTCCTTGCTGATAGGAGACAAAGTACTCCTTTTTGTCAAGGAGACAACCAAAGCAGGCTAAAATTCTCTGGAGGCGGGTGCCCTGAGTGGCTGGCGGCTTTGGTGGATGGCAGACCCCATCACCAGGAGCGCACCCCAACATTCCTGTACCTCGCCTCCAGACCACTCTTCTGACACATAAAGGCCAAGTCCAAGGAGTCTAAAGTCCACTCCCATGACATTTCATTTCTATTTTTCTTGCCTTCAGCGGTTAAACAGTTAAACTGACCAAGGTCCAGCATCAGTTGTGGCTTATACAGAAGCCAGCTTAGAGTACTAATTGTGAAAAGAACAAAGAAACAAGGTTCCAAGCTATCCCGAGACGAGGACGGGACAATGACCAAGGAAGCAGAATGACCAAACTCCCATTTTTCTTCTGTCTTCCATGCCAAGGGGAACAGCCTCTGGACCCCAAAGTACAGAACAAAAAGGTCTGAAAGAGGAAAACCTCACAGGAAGCAAAGAGAACATACAAGGGCATCCGCATGACCTCAAGTCATCAGCCCCAGACTGCCCAGCCACGACAGCTAAGCCCCTCGTGGTCAGTGACCTTGAAAAGCTACATGTTGTCCCCAAGACTCCCCCATCCACGGCCTTCCCCAGCAGGCAGCCACCTGCAGCTCGCCTTCCCACGGCCCCCGCCCTCCCCACACGCTCTGATCTCCCCATGCCCTCCCACGGCCCCCACCCTCCCCACGGCCCGTGCCCTCCCCACACGCTCTGATCTCCCCATGCCCTCCCACAGCCCCCGCCACCTCTCGCCTGCCTGGACTACTGATGAGCGACCGCTTACTCTCCTTCCGTTGCGGCTCCTCCTTCTCTAACCCATCCTCTCCCAGGGGGCAGATAAGTTTTCCTAAGACACAGATCTAACTACATCATACTCCTGCTCAGAAAGATCCAGCTACTCCCTGGTGCCTCTGCTTGAGAACACATGCTCTGAACTTCACCCAGTGTTTAAAAGCCCGCGTGGTCCAACTCCATCCCGCTCTCCCCATGCTCATTATCCCCCTTCATAAGCTGGACACTTCAGCCAACCTGCCTCACTGGTCTTCCCATTTCTACACCTCTGACACAGAGGAGGGGCCCTGTGCCCATCCCCCTGCCACCCCTGTGCTTACACTGCCATCTCACCTCTGCCTCTTCACATCTTCCTTCAGGTTTCAGCTCAAGCTCCTGGCCACAAGCCTTTGCAGATGCCCTCAGTTCATGCCAGCGTTCGGGCGGGCTCACTCTCTGATTCCAGAGTGTGTCCTCTCTGTCAGAGGTCCTCCTATCAGTACCACCTTGTCCCACTGAGTGAACCTCTTAGCACACATCCAAGCAGACTGCCGAGGAGGCCGTGTTTCTTTGAAAGCACCGCTTCACCTTTATTTCTGAAGCTCTCTGCCATGGTGCACAGACATCTTGGTCACCGGCATCACAAGCATCAAACAGGGGAAACAGCACCGGACTCCAACCAGAAGATCTGTGCTAGAGTCCCAGCCCAGATGCTAACTAGCTGTGTGACCATTCACATGTTCCTAAACCTCTCTGGCCCACTTTTACCATCCGTCAAGTGAGGCTGACAACATACCTCAAACTCTCCCACTACCTACTGACTTGCATGGCTATGGCTACCCTCTCATGTCAGCATGAGAACCACTGACACCTGATTAAGGGCCCCCACCAGGAGCAAGCGAGGTGGCACAGCAGATAAGAGTGTTGACCCCAGAGTCAGGAGCAGGACACGAATTCAAATCCAGACACTTACAGCTGTGGGACCCTGGCAAGTCACGGAATCCTTCTTACCTCAGTTTCCTCATCTGCAAAATAATCTGGAGAAGGAAATAGCAAAGCACTACAGTATCTTTGCCAAGAAAACCCCAAATGGGGTCACAAAGAGTAGGCCGTGATTAATCAGCTAAGCAACCACCACCAGTCCCAGGCTTTCCTAAGTGATATTCAACAAAAAGCTACCACTTCACCATCTCACAGCTTACTGAAAGAGGTCAAGAACAGAGGCAACCTCTATGCTAATTATTTGTGGACTAGGAAAAAGCCTATGATTGTCTTGCAGAAAACGCTCCCAAAGGTAGAAGTCGAAATACGCCCCTCCTGACAGCCGTCTTTGGAATCGGTTCACTCTGCACACCTCCATGGGTCTTTCTATGCCCCGAGTCTGTCATCCCGCATACTGGTGAGTCTTCCCCAATCTGGGTCACCCACCAACTTGCTCGATAGGCCAACTAAGCATTTGCCCACATTCTTGATAAGAAGACTGAACCGGAGCAGCGAGGTGGCACAGTGGACAGAGCACCAGTCCTGAAGTCAGGAGGACCTGAGTTCAAATCTTGACACTTACTAGCTGTGTGACCCTGGACAAGTCACTTAACCTTTTGCCTAAATTGCCTAAAAAAAAAACCAAAACAAAGTTAAGACTGAACCAAGAAGGTCCAAGAACTGAGGCCTGCAGCAATCCACCCCAACTGGAGCTCATGAACTTTACCTTGTTTGTTAAGCAGCATTTTAATGCGAATGACTGGCTTCTTTTATAAGCCTATGTATTTGGATTTATGCATTTAAAAACATGATTTGGAGATTTCGCCAGACACAGGTGAAGAACTGAGCTACAAAAAAGCCCCCTGCAACTGTCTGGGGCCAGATTTGATCCAATTTAATTGTACTAATACAGAGTTCCTAGACAAGCCAAAAATAAACAGATAATCCTGAAAGAATGTCAGAAAGAAAGGAATTCATTCAGTTAGCAATTACTTAAATCCTAGGGAAAAACGCCAACATAAAACATCTTTGTGTAAGCTAAGGAGGTGGAACGTACCCTACTGGAATCACAGTGGACACCTGGTATCCTCACTATGCCACAAACAAACTTGACAATTAGCCTGTGCTCCCCCATTAATAATCCACAAAGACAGATGTGGTGTTGTCTATCAAAATAATACACGTATACACTCAGATTTATCCTAATTAGGGAGACAATTTAGTGAATTCCCAAAGAGTTAAAAGTCAGGATTCAAAAAACAAACCCCCGCTATTATGACAACCCTTTCTATGCAAGCTTGCCTTGGTCTTGGCAGACAGTGGGTGCTGGCATGACATCTGCCTTAGTTATTAGCAAGTGGCTTTTTTTAAAAAGTTCTAAATCTTTGTCTAGCAAGGGTGGTATACAATTTCACAAAGGATAACTTTTTAAATTGAAGACTCCCAAAGGTACTTGTCTGACTCCATTTCAAATAACAGGTGAAATCTGATCTCTCCTGGGAGCCCCTTGAGCTCCGTCTCGGAGCCCACTTACATTCATCAAGGACCTGACCAGATTATACCAAATTAAAACCAAGATAATTTAACATGTCACACCTCTAACTGGGCTACATGGGCCCGTGGGCCATTTAATAGCATTTTTCAAAGACATCTTCTCACATCTTAATGGTATTTTGGGGGGAAATGAGTTTCACATAAATCAGGTAAAATAAAAACTGGAAAGCTACAAATCTGCACCACTCCCACCCTGCCCATGCCCCACATGGTTCCCTGGACCACCACCCAAACAGAGCTGGGCTGGGCCGGCAAGCTCCCGTTACTGTGGGCTCTGAGCAGAGCAAACCTGGAAGTCAAGGCAGCCACAACCTAACGCAAACTGTTGTCCAAATGTTTAACAAGAAGGCAACGCGTTCAAAGCAAGGGCTTCTGAGTATACTTTAAAAAAATAATGGATTTCCGATGTATGTTGCTTTGCATGATCTCATCCAGGGTTCACTTTCCTACTTTCTGTGGGAAGGGAAGGAGAAGGGAATAAGCATGCATTAAGCTCCGACCGTGTGCCAGGCACTGGGCTTAGTGCTTCACAATTATTATCTCACATGAACCTCACAAAAACCAGCGAGGTGGGAGCATGATGCTGAGGAAAATGAGGGCCAGAGCAGTGAAACGACTTGCCCAGGGTCAAACGGCTAGTAAGCATGTGAGGCTGGATTTGAACCCCGGGCTTCCTGACTCCAGGCCAAGCAGTTTATCACCAGTGGGCTGCCTAGCACTAAAATGATCTAGTTAAGAAGTGCTACACAATGTTTAGTCAGTAAAAACAAAGCCCAGACAGGCTCCTCTCCTTAAAGTCTGGCCCTTTCAGAGGAGATGCAGTCAAGCCAGCAGACCCAGCTGAGCAAGGAGCAACACGCCAGGAGAACAAACAGCCTCGGACTCGCCATCCAGTGCAAAACCACGCGTGATAGGCAGCTAAGAGCGTCAGGAGGACCTGCGTTCAAGTCCAACCTCAGACAACTGACAATAACTAGCTGTGTGACCCTAGGCAAGTCACTTAATCCCGACTGTCTCACCCAAAAAGCAAAAAAAACCAAACCAATCATATGTGATGGAATCCAATCTTGGCTAAGAAGTGCCTGGCACTCAGTAGGCACTTGCTTACAGATTACTGACTGGCTACTGAGAGCCCATTAATCAGGGCTTTTCGGCAGAACACACCATCTAGCAGCCCAACTGTTCCTGGACGTCCTGGAGGTGCGCTCTTCTTAATGGTCCCAACAAGATCGGGCCTGGGGATTCCTCCATCAGCCACGGCTCAAGATGGCAGAAAAGGCCCCGGGAGGGGCCGGCCAAAGGAGCACGTGTGCCAGGGACCAGCGGGGCCCTAGCCAGAAAGACAGGGCCTCCCTGGCACTCACCGAGCCTCGAAGAAATAAAACGGGGACCCCGATTCCAAACTTCTCTCCCAAGTCGCGCACAGCACACAGCAGCTTGTAAGCCTGCGGCCCCAGGTCCTGCCAATGCTCCTCGGAGTCAACGCTGGAGTGAGGGTCCTTCAGTCTGAAGACACAGACACTGCTGCTGAGTTCACACCCCCAGCACAGCCCACACTGTTTTATAAGAGCGAACAAGATTCAAGCAGAGTCAGGGAGGACAAGAGAACTGTAACAAGTGGCAGAGAACGTGGAGGCACGCAGCATGGGCGAGGAGGAGGACGCGGCATGGGAGGCCTGCAGGGCCCCTGCACGTGACCCCCATCCCGTTTCCAGATGAGAAAACTAAGGCCGTGGGACCGGGGGGGGGAGGGGGGTGACTGGCCTGAGCTGAGGGGCACTGGAAGGCAGGTCAGGCAGCTGGAGAACATTATCTCACTGGATCCTCACAAGATCTAGGGAAACAGGGGCTGAGAGCCTTCCCATTTTACAGAGGAGGAAACTGAGGCAAGGGCCACACACAACCTCACAAGGTTATGAGCCGGGATCTGAACTTGGGCAGCTTCTGCATCCCCACAGGCTTGCCTGCAGCATCACCCTGTGGCTTTCCGGGAGACACAACCGCTCCTAACGCACCACCGATCCCCTTTTCTGCCAGAGCCTCCACCAGAAGGCTAACTCCTGCCTGGCACCAGCGAGGCTCTCACGAGAGGGGTGAGAGTTCAAGTCACCTCATTCGGAGAAAAGCGCCCAAGCTGAGCCAGGCTTCTACGGCAGCTGCGGCATCCTGGGGGTTCCATCATCAGACTGCTCTCACTCCCACAAGTCTACCCACAGCATTTGAACCCACGCAGAAACAGGCTGCCAGAAGAAGACATGCCTGCCTGGCAGGGAGGGGAGCGATGGGCGGGCGAGGAGCTCTGCGGGGCCTCCCTGGTTTTGCTAAACCGCTACCTCCTCCCTTCCTTTGGTACAAGGGGCAGCTCTCTCAGGAGCAAAAGGCATATATGTATAAATGAAGGTGAAAACCAAAAAAAAGGTAAAACTTTAAAGAAAACACCCACTCCCAACAATTCCCACTCCCGTAGGTGGGGGTCCTTGCTCAAGGCAGGTCACCCTCTGCTCAGCTTTCAGCTCCTTTCCCTTCCTGATGGGCGGCAATGTGAGCCTTGGCACTGCCTCCCACCCCAGAAGGCTGAGGCTGGTAAGTGAGACCGAGCCCTGCTCGCCACTTCCTCAGTGACACTGGGGAGTCAGGTCCTCCCTTTAGGTCAGGGTTCTTATCTGTTAAGTAGAAGGATCCGGTACCCTGTGTTCTCAGGTCCCTTCCTGTATGCTGCTCAAACACACAAAGAACAGCCATCATCACTTTATGCAACCTAAGATTGCCTGGAAAAGTCCACGGGAGACTCTGAATTGCACCAATGGCCACCTGAGTCTGATGACCAACTTTCCGAGAGACAGAAGGGCAGACGGAAGCATGCCACGCAGGCCAGCTTTGCAAGCGCCACGCTGCCTCTGTGACGGGCTTTAAAAAAAGCACGCTGTTTCAGGTTCAAGCCCCCCTCCTCCCGATCTGCGATGTATATGGAAAACATTCTCACAGCTGGTGTTTGTGAAGACTCAAATGTTTTCTCCAAAGTGAAAGAGCTGAGGAAGGAAAATCTGGGTTTTCAAATCACAAGCATTTATACACCACTCTAAGGTTTGCAAAGCATATTCTGTCACTGCATCTGTGTTTTCAAGTGCTACGTTTGCTTCATTTGAGCTTGAGGAGGTTAGATGTTTTTTAAGGAAATGAAAATTTGCAAAAGAAATCTGGCCTAGCAAACAGCAATCCCAATGCCTCCTTTTTGACTGGGTGGGTGCTCACCTGGCCTGACAGTTGTCACAGCACTGCTCCGTTCCCATGATGCCCAAGGAGGCCTTTCGGAGCTGTCTGTCTTCAAAATGAGACAAGATGATTCTACCCAAGAGGAAATGGAAAATCCAATGAATAAACCAAAAATGACATGTCGAATTCCTGACTAAAAATGAGGAGAAATCACGGCTGATTGACTCACAGGGGATGTCATTACTGGGCTCTGATTCACTCAGAAGCCACAACCTCTGATACAGACACAGAACCCGACAACAATCCCACTGATTCTGCATGCATTTAGGGTTAAGGTTAGGGTTACCCCACGCACTTACTTCCGCCGGCATTTGCTGGACTGAAGATACCTCTCTAATTGTCTCATCATCTTCAGTTTGTACTGTCGAAAGTCGGCATTCTGGATGTCACTAACGAGGTGCCTGTCGGGTAGAAATAAAGGGTGAGAACAAAAGAATGACACGTGACCGTCACTTTCCATTGACTGGCATATTCTACTCAGAGGAAAAAGGCAGTTTCTTTCAAAGAGCCCACCAAACAGTAATCACCACATCTGGCTGGCAAACTATATCAAGTTACAAAGTAGAGCCTTCATTTTTTTGGTTTTTTTAAAATTTTTTTCTTTTGGTTTTTTGTTTTTGTTTTTAGGCAGTTGGGGTTAAGTGACTTGCCCAGGGTCACACAGCTAGTAAGTATCAAGTGTTTGGTCTGAGGCCAGATTTGAACTCAGGTACTCCTGACTTCAGGGCCGGTGCTCTGTCCACTGCGCCACCTAGCTGCCCCTCTTCCTTTTATTTTTATCATTAATTGTGCCATCACCTGAAATGTGTTTCCTTTTTTTTTTTTGAGGTGGGGCAAGGTGGAGGCAATTGGGGTTAAGTGACTTGCCCAAGATCACAAAGCCATTAAATGGCTGAGGCTATATCTGAACTTATCCTCCTGACTTCAGGGCCAGTGCTCCATCCACTGCCCCACCAAGCTGCCCCACGGGCTTCCTTTTGTAAGCCACCTCTGCTCCTTCAGGAAAAACACGCAGTATGAAATTCATTCCCACACACACACACACACACACACCCTTCACCTGTTGAAGCTGATGTCCGCAGGGGCCCAGAGCACATGGCAAGAACTGGGCAGGCCATCGCGGCCAGCCCTGCCCATCTCCTGGTAGTAAGACTCCATTTCCTTGGGAGCACCATAGTGGATGACTTTACGGATGTCGGCTTTGTTAATCCCCATGCCAAAGGCGACTGTTGCTACAACACACTGAGAACAAGAGTAGCATGGCAGTTATTTAATGTTGTTAACGTCGCACAGCAGGCTTCTGGGTTAACGTGTTCGTGAGCAGAGCCAGAAGGGCTGATATTAAACCTAACAGCACCCACGTAAACTCCCTGCCTCAGTGTCTAGGCGAGTTTCTGTGCAACCAATGGCTCAAAGCCCAAACTGGAGGCTCTCCCCCTGGCCCTCGGCCTGCATCAGGTGGGCAGGCAGAAGACTCCCCGTGAACAGAGATGAGCACCGCCCTGGGCACGCCACCCACCCACCGGCCTGAATCAACCACGGCTCTAGAGATGAGTCTATGCTCATCAGGAGCTAGAATTAAGCTCATTAGGAGGCAGTATGACCTGGGTTGTTCCAAGGACAGCCCTACTAGGCAATGACATGAGGCAGGAGAAGGAGAAGGAAAAAAAAACTATCCAAGGGAAAAGATGAATGAACAGAGTGGCCCAAAAATATGCACCTGAGATGGGGAGAGGACCTAGAAAAGGTGCCAGGAGCCACGTGTGACTTCTCTGGGCAAAGGCCCATGGGGACCCACACCACACGTCCTGCAGGCTGCAGCAAAAAGCAGGTGTCAGACAGCTGTAGGATAAACGCTGCAGAGTGCCATCAGAGGATGGACAAATGGCTTTTGTGTGATTTTTCTCTTAAACCAAATGCATTTTACATTAACATCTAAGTGTGAGTCCTCAGGGCACTGTCTTCAGAAAAGAATGCAATTCATTTCAAACACACCTGGCCGGCATCTCCTAGCCCGGGCCTTCCCACCTGACTCTCCTGCATGGGGTGCTTCCCCCCATCAGAAGGGGAGCTCCTAGAGAGCAGAGGCCGGCTGCCTCTTCTCTTTGGACCCCAGACCTTGGCCCAGCGCTTGGTACGTAGTGTTCCATGAAGGCTTTTTAATTCATCCTCGGGCACTGTTGTAACTGTCACTTCAATAAACATAACCATAAGCAAAATGTGGGGCCCTGATCACTGTCAGCTTTCCAGTGCAGGTAACAAACATGCACACAAAATGCAGAGGTGCTAACAGCAGCAAGAACAGAAGAAATTATTTTAAACAAAGTAGAGCTACAGATCAAAGGCTGATAAAACCAACTGAGTCGAGTTACATTAATAAAAGATGAGTTAATATAATCTTTCTAAAACTAGATTTTGAGCACCTCAGGCTTCTCTCTGGCTCTGTTAGAGTAATAGAGGCTAAATGACAAAGAAAACTCCAACAGCTCTAAGGGGTGAGGTCCAGAGGAGGCAACAGGAGGGTGAATGTCCCTCAACAAGATGGCCCAAGAGCACTTCACTCAGAGCCCTGCAAGCCCCAGAGGAGCAGGCAGCCCACCCAGCTCCACGGACAGGGGAGGAGAATCCTCTGCCCAAACAAGAAGGCACCTCAGGACTCAACAGTCTTCCCCTGTCCCCAGGAGCCAATTCTGCTTTCACCTGTTTCTAAGACCTGGAAGAGCTTCACCCAGAGATCCAGGGAAGGCTAGATACCTGCCGTCCAAGGACCTGCCTCACTAACTCAGCCCCTAGGGGTTCCTCTCCGGGGGCGGGGCTGGCCTGGAGGAACTCTTCCACCACAACAGCTCCCCAAATCCTTCTTTATTTCAGAGGTGTTTCAACCTGCAATGGAGGAGGAAGAAGGGTAACTCTCCTGTTGAAGTGACAAGTCCCTCGAGCAAGAAATCACCAGAAGTCCAACACCTGACTCCTGAAGGAGAGCAACGGAAGCCCCAAGTCGCCATCACGAAGGCAGGACTTATCTGCAGTCCCATCCAGAAGAGAAATGAACTAGTGCGTTGGGCCCAGATACCACAATCTCAGCAACAAACTCAACCCCATGCCACAACAACCTGGAGTGCCAAAAGCCAGCAGTGCCCCAAACCTTTTCACTTAACTAAGGAAGAAACTGAGGGCCAGAGACCCTGAACGTTCTACCCCAGGTCATTCAGTGTGTGGCTGCCACCTGTCCTGGAGCCTGTGAGGAGCAGCTGGCCAGGAGGTACAAACTCCTCATCAAAGCAGCCACCAGTGAAATCGGGGTGCGGAAGCAGGCACCAAGAGAAAGGAGGACACACCACACAACCGTGGAAATACACAGAGTGGGCGGAAGACAAGGAGGAGGCTCCCTGGCCGGCGCCGCCACGGATCATGCAACGCTGGCCAGTCCAAGAGGCTCCTGTCTCTGCTTCTTACATATGTTCCCCAGACTTGCCGAGATCTCTTTCAGGGCCCTGTCGGAGGCAGGACCTCCGGTGAAACTAGAGTCAGGTTTTCAAGACACTTCCTGGTGAAGCTCACGGTCCCTCACATGCTGACAGGAAGGCTGGGGGTTCCCCTCCAGCCACTCCAAACCCCTGCTGAAGAGGACAGTGAGCAAGAGCCGGACATCTAGGCCAGGAGCACAGAAAGAAAAACAAGGCTGACCACCCTGACTGCCCCTGGTTAGGAGGCCACACCCTCTCCAGGAGGGATGGAGTGGAGTCTGATAGATTATACCTATCAGAAGATGGCCACTGCCAAAGAACTGGAAATGGAGGGGATGCCCAGGGAACATGACTGTGATGGAGTAGCACTGTACTACAACCAATGATGAGCAGGTGGATTTCAGAAAAAGCTGGAAAGACCTAAGTCCCGAACTGATGCAAAGTGAAGTGGGCAGAACCAGGAGAACATCATCAACAGCAACAGCAACGTTGTACAACGATCACGACAGCAGACTGAGCTCCTCTCAGCCATGCGATGACCCAAGACAATTCCAAAGGCTCGTGGCGGAGAGTGCTGTCCACACCCAGACAAAGAGCTGATGAAGCCTGAATACAGATCAAAGCAGGTTCTTTTCATCTTCTTTATTTTTTTTTTAGTTTTTTTCCCTTTTGTTCTGTTTCTTTTCATACATGTCTACTATGGAAATAAGTTTTACACGACCACACACATGTAACATATCAAATTGCTTACTGTCTTAGGGAAGGGGAAAGGGAGGAGAGGGAAGGAAAAAGTTTGGAACCCAAAATTTTATAAAAAAAAAAATGTTAAGTTGTCTTTACATGTAATTGGAAAAAATAAAATGCTATTTAAAAGAAAAAAAAGAAGATGGCTCCTGAAATTCTAGGTGCCCGGAGGGCCTTACCAATGAGATTGGGAGGCCCAGGGCAGGAGGTCCAGGAGTGAAGAAAGGGTTAACACCAATCAAAGACCAAGCACACCCCGAACTCAGCATTTAAGGCCAAGAAACATATTCAGCTAGGTCTCAACCAAGAGGCTCAAGGCCAGAACCAGAAAGTGGGAGAGAAGATGAAGCACAAAGATGGAATCGAGATTCTTTTAAAACTCCAAGTCAAGAGGAAGAGGAAAAGGTCACACAAGGCAAGGCGTGAGCTAAAGGTCAGGCTGGAACAGCCCAAGTGAGCTCGCGTTTTGCCTGCCTCTCCCCAGGAGAAGAGCTGGCCAAGGGACAGAGGCACAGCCGTGGAGTGAGAGCCCCCACAGACCCTACAGCTACAGAGACAAAGACTCCTCCTTTAAAGTGCCCGACGCTCCCTGCAGACAGGCGCTTCCAGGCAGGCGGTCACAAACCACCACAGCCTGAGAGCAGCTGCCCAGATTCCTGTGCCCTGGGCAGACGGCTGGACCAGTCCCCTGGGGCCAGGGGGTGCCTGTGTCCCAACGCTTCTTATGGTTTCGGTTTTTTTAATAAAAGGAAGAGCTGAGCAAAGAACCTAGGAAGGAAGCCCTAAGAGCCAAGCCAGCCCATTCTAAAGCCCTGGCCCGAGAGCTCCTTCTCAGAATGGCTTAGTCCTTTGTCAGGCCTGGGGCAGACAGAGGCATGGAAGACAGGAGCCAGCGTGGTGGGCTGAACTCCAGCAGGGCAGGGGGCGACACAGAGGGCAAGCCTCCTCAGACAAGGGTCTGTGCCTCTCCCTCCTCTCCGAAACGCTCCAGGCAGAAAGGCGGCAGCAATGAGCAGACTGACCAGAGGCCACGGGCCAGTCCAAGAATGTGCCAAACCCATTCCCAGGTTTCTCACCGAGCACTACTTCCTAGCTAAACCACATCGGAATTAGTAAAAAGCCTCACTCAAACACTGGAGATGATGGGAAAGGACGAGGTCAGCTGCAGCTCAAGCGACCAGAGGACCTGTGTGTTACGCTTCCCTGAGGAACAGTACAAGGCCCACGCACCTGGATTTCATCATGCATGAATTGGTGATGGATCTCTCGCCTCGACTTAATCCCCATGCCTGCGTGGTATGTCCCACAGGCCAAGTTCAGCTTCCGCAGCTCTGCAGTCACTTGTTCAGAGATCTTTCTGGTAGGGCAATAGATGATAGTGGGGCCTTCAAATTCCCGGGATGATCTGAAATAAAGGGAGAAAAAAATACATTAATGGGGACAGACAGATGGACAGACACACACACACACACACACACACACACACACACACACACACCCACCCACCCCCAGAAGACATCTGGACTACAATTTAAAAAGAAGCCACAGCAGATACAGCGAAGTCACTCCTTGGCAATGGAGACCAAAGAACTTCCATTCACATCACCAATAACTTTCACTTCAGCCAAATAAATGAAATGACAGCCTCCGTTCTTGCCCAACCGTGAACCAAAGCTAACCCAAGTCACAGAAGTGCCGCTCTGGGTTTTCTCACTGCAGGGACGGTCCAAAGAGCAGGCAGCCAGAGGAGCAGGAGAGCCCAGAGGCAGGGAGAGGTCCCAGATGAGAAGGCCCTAGCCCTAGGCCTGTGGCTTGCCGCTGCTGATCCAGGACCACTCACTCCTTTCTGACCTCAAAAATGCAGTGTAGACCCTTCTCCAAGGTCCCTCTGGCCCTAACTCTGGGCTCTATCAAGAACGCTTTGCAGAACGAATTAGTCAGTGGGTCGCTGGCCTCCAAGCGCTGTTCCATGGCAAGCTCAGACCCTTTCTCCTCAGTGGAGAAGAGCCCCTAGCCCACGGCCGACTCTAGCCCAGCTCAATCATGAAGTGACCCCTTCTCAGAAGCTTCCTAAGAAGCCAGAGGAGCAAAAGGCCCCCCTAGTATCAGAAATCAGGCAATTCGGAGGACTCTGGCCACCAGGGCAAGTCGGTAAAGTCGGTAATTTGCTGTCTTTGTTGTCATTTGTGCTTCACTCCCAAGAGGAGGTGTTGCCATGGTTTGCGAGTGAACTGGATTTAAGTGAGGCAGGGCAGTGCAAAGTCGCCAGCCTCACTTTCTCCTCCGGAGCCATCTGGGCCCAGTGGCCAGGTATAGATCAGGATGACTGGAGAGGGCCCTGGATGAAGTGGGAGACCCTGGCCTTTTTAAGCTAAGGTCTTTAACAGGTCTCAGTCTGACTGAGGCAACACTCAATCACTGATTAAGGCTAGGTAAGAAATGAGGCAGAGAATGGCCTCTTTTACCTAGTCTCCCCAAAAAAATAATAATCTGAGAAGGGAAGATCCTCAGGGTTTCTGGCCAAAACAGGAACAACTGCTGTCTACATTCCCTCTGAGCCAATCAGGGCCCAAACAATGACCAAATGGGGCTTGGCCTGGAACCTACTCTTGGCCAATCACGGAGAGCCAGAGTGATTTGGGTTTAAGGTGTGGTCTTTAAGAAAGAAATCTGCAATACGGAACCTACAACACAAGGTAGCAAAGCAAATAACTGACTGCCACCACAGCCTGTGCAGCTTGGAGACCCCAGAAGCAGAGGAGGCCATCCTTGCTTGGACAAGGGGACCGAGCAAACACTGGCTGCAGCATTTTACTTTGCCACCATGGAAACTACTGAATAGTCGGCTAGGCTGTGATCCCAAGACTGAAAGAACCAGAAATGAGGTGACTACATGAGAATGGACAACTGAACAGAAAGCAAGACGAGAAGAGTCTATGAAGAGACAGGTACACTGATGCACTGTTGGTGGAATTGTGAGTGGCCAGCTATTCTGCAAAGGGATTTGGAATGAGGCTACAGAAAATGAGTAAAATGTTCCCTGATTTTGACATAAATTCTACAGGGGTCAATGCTAAAAAAAAAAAAAAAAAAAAAGGAAGCCCCCATATCCACCAACATCTTTGTAGCAGCATTTTTTGTGGTCATAAAGGACTGGAAACATGGCAGATGACCCTTGACTGCATAATGGAATATCACTGCATTCTGAGAAATAAGAAATGCCGAGGCAGACGGAAAAGTGAAAACACTTATGGGAATCAATGCAAAGGGAAGCCAGCAGAATCACAGAGGACATCGACGCCCACCACCACAAAGTCCAAGCTGATGCCTGAGGAAGTGTCGTGGCCAGGAAGGACCAAGAGCCAGGAGACGCCCCTCCTGTCAGGGCATGACTGGCACGCAGCTCCACAGCACCCCCCAAGGACCCGCTGACAAGCAGCTTCATGCCCCACCCCTCTTGCCAGGGACAGCTCTGCAGAGGGGCTGGGCAGGACCAAGTAAGAAGGTACAAGAGCCTGTCTACCAGCACGCCTGCAGAACCCAACAAGCCAAGAGCTACTCACTCTGTCTTTTTCACAAGAAACCTGTCCAGATCTTGAAGGATATTGCCCGTCTTCCGCCCGACCTCCAGGTAGAGGTTGGGCCGGTCAAAGCTGGTGCAGGTGACCTGAGGGTTGCGCAGGTTGAGGCAATACACGATGTCTGCTCGGATGGAGGAGCTCGCTGTTGCCGTCAGCGCCAGCACAGGCACCTGGGGGAACACAGATGGGACCCAGGTAGAAGCTCACGGGGGAGGCCAGAGGGAGGAATGTGGAGCGGGGGCCCCAACAAAGAAAGTGAAAAAGAGAAAAGAGAAGGGAAGGAGCCAGGAGAGAGCCGCAGGGTCCACCCACAGGCACGCTCTGAATGGTGAGCCATCAGGCAGTAGTGAGTGTCATGCCAACCCAGAGAGTAAGTGGAGAGAGTGGAGGTCAGCAGAGAGGTCAAGAAGAGCGAGGGCATTAGAGCTGACACTTTAGAGATCATTAATAACTACTTTGCACCCGTTGCAACTCAAGACCCATTTCCTATTTGCCTTTCATGGGAACTGAGTCCAGCACCGCCCCACCCCCAGCTGACTGCAGGCCAATAACTGGCTTTCTCCCTTGTGATGAAGTTAAAATCCACAGTATGCCTCCCTGTTCAACCACCATCTGGCTCAATGGCCAAACTCCCCAGTGACCAAAGACAACAATTCCTGAGAAATACTAAGGGCAAGAGAGAACTTAATCCCCACCCCACCCAGATCCACCCTTCCTGTTCTTTGGCAGGAATGGCCTTTCTCCTCTGTCAGGGTGAGAGTGCTCACCATCGGCAGGGCGGTCTTCAAGGAACCCAAGCTTCGGAACGAATTTCTGAAGTCATGCCCCCACTCCGACACGCAGTGGGCCTCATCCACAGCAATCAAAGTGATCCCTAGGGAGAGGGAGAAACTCACCAACAAGGAGACCTTGACAGGCAGCAGGCCAGGCCTCAACGCTCACTGAGCCATTCCAACAAAAAGCAGGGTCGGCGTCCCAGTGACCCGAAGCTACGGTCAGAATAAAGATGCGGTTCAAGCCTGAGTCACTTCAGATAAAGCCAAATCACTGCTGCAGAGGAGAGGAAAATGAAAGGAGACACTTCCTCCAGGACGCAGCTTTCATCCCTTTGTGCTCTGCACACGCCATCCTGGCCTTACATTCCCGCTCAATGGCGATGCTGCCACTATTTGGACAGGCTGGCGGGAGGCAGGAGTCCCTACCAGGCACCACCACATGGCCCAAGGGCATCCTCCTCCAGAGGCACCCGGTGGGTCTGAGAAACAAACAGGAAGCGTCCCTGGGGGGAGACACATGGCCAGGTGACTGAGCCCCGCTGGAGAGCCCCCTGCTGCGCAGGCAGGGGCGCAGCCACCCAACACAAGACTCCAGAGCCTCCGCGGGCTCAACCTTAACACGTTTCTGTACACTTAGTTTTTTTGCTATTTCTTCTACAACACTTGGGAGAACTTCAAAAATTTAAGATACTATTAAAATTGTAAACTAATGAAATGTCAGAGCAATGCCCATGAACGTTCTGAATGTGTTCGTTTTCACGGCATGAACACTTCCAAAATAATTTTCCTGGGCTACACTCTTGTTCGACATTAAGAACTTAGTGAAAGTGTTTCACGAGCTTTCAGTGCACAAATACCAGGGTCTCTTATTAGCCATGTGCATAAAGCAATCACCTAACAAAAACACAGACAAAATCACAAATCTTGTGAGGCTCTGAACTACTGGAGTGAGGAGATAAGTTACACCGAGAAAACCATCAACCACCCAGGAGCCAGCAAATGGGGTAGAAGGAGTGAAGGATGACCAGGGCCCTGGTACAAACTGGGCAGCCAATGTCTCTCTGGCTCCATTTTCTCATCTATAAAATGGGAACAATAATAGCCCTCGCCCAATCGGCCTCCAAGCCCACGAGTGCCACATGACCATGTGCCCTGCCGGGCAGACCTCTCTTGGCATCTAGAACTCCTCTGGCAAGTGACCGCAAGATGAAAAAGCATGTCAAGATCTGCATCTGGACTGCTCCGTACCTCTGCTGCTCGTGGCCAGCATGGCCCCGGGCTAATTACTCAGCCTCTTGAACCTCAGTTTCCTCATCTGTAAAATGAGCAGGCTGAACTAGCCAACACCTGAGGGTCCTGCCACTTCCTGGTCTCTCAACAGAGAGAACTTTCATAAAGTCTGGAGAACGTAGCATCTGCCTGCCTGCCATCATCAGCGTACTTAGGTATGGAAACTAACAAGGGGGAGGCTTGACCAAGAAGGTTTGTTGGAAACTTGACCTAAAATACCCCAAAAAAGGGGAAAAAGAGAAAACAGCAGGCTCAAAAGGAGCCTCCGGACACATCGGCTTTTGAACAACTTTGTCCACACAAAGAATCCACTTTTCAGAAATGCGGAGGGCCTGTCAGCCTTTGGTTTTCAATGTGAGGTACACCTGAGAACTATTACCTGAGTATTGCTGTCATCTGGACTACCAACGGGACAGTCCTCACCCCCTCGGCCCAGAGGCACTGAGTCCCACATGCAGGGAGAGGCAGAGCCACCAAAGCTCCGCCAAGGCACAGGCCGCCACCTCTGCCACTTACCCAGGTCAGCGTTGAGCCGCATCAGCAGGTCCAAGCTGGCCAGGCAGAATTCTGGGGTGATGTACACAACCCTGTACTCTCCCCTGTGACAGAAGAGAGGAGGGGAGAGTGAGAAGTTGGCAGGCCGAGCCAAAGCATTTGCCTCACCGAATCTGCTGTGATCACCGTGCTGGATTTATTAAGGTACTATTGGGAACTGCATTCCTCACTCTTGATGCTACTTGTCAAAAAAGCTCACTGAGAATCTAAGAATCCCTACGCCCTCGGGCCACTGCTATAGCTCCTGGTTTTCCCCCTCCCCTGCTGAGGACTTCTCCAATTTTTCACAAGTGACAGGAAGGCTCTATCACTCATGACCAGCATCCCCATAATGGCTGGGAGCACAGGTCAGTGGACCCCACGTTGGACAAGAAGTCTGCAGATATCCCTTCTCAGGCAGTATTCTGTGAGTGCGATAGAATGAGGCTGGCCTGATGTCTTGAGAAGAAATACTGTAAATAACAAAACCTTTAAGAATTCAGAGATGTGCTAACATACTAATGAGGAAAACCACACAGAGACACCATGGTCCTTTCCTGAGGAGCTCTTGGTCCACCCCAATGCCAGGCTGGCACCTCCCTATGGCAGGGCAGTGCCCTGGCACCCCACAGGCTGCCAGGCTTCAACAGCTCAGCTCCCAAGCCAAGAAGGCCTCAGGGAAGGTCTAGGTTCAAGCCAGGGCTCGCTATACCAGCCCCAGCTCCAGAGGGGCTCGGCCTGTGCCTGAAAACAGGGGAACCATAAAGAGGCCCTCCTAAGAGAGGGAGACACAGAGGACTGCAGGATGACCAAAGCACGGCCATCAGTGCAGCCCAACTCCCACAGACCAGACCCTTCAAAGGTTTCAGAGATTCTGCTCCCATCGTACAGGAACACAGGATGCACACTGCCCAAGTTTGTCAAACAAGAGAACTTAGTAACAGAAAATGGGCTACTTACGCTTTAACACGACTGATGATATTCTCTGACTGAGCGGATCCAAGGAAACAGGCTTTAACATTGGACATTCTGAAAGATGAAAATTCCGAATTGCTGTTCAAGGAGGCTCTCAGGGGGCTCCTTCCTTTGGAGGCGCCCAAGAGAGAACATGGAGCCCGTGGCTTGTGAACTGCTCATGCACTCTCAATCAGACACTCTCCATGGGCTTTTCCTGGACCAATCACTGAGAGAGGTCCTGGGCCTACCAAGACAGAGGAAGACAGTCTGTGCCCGCCAGACCGGGCACACAACAGGCACAGTGCTAAGAAAGTAAAAGGCATTCTCCAGAGGGACGGAATACTAACCATCAGGGGCAAAAGGGAGGGTCAGGGAAGAGATCACAGCAGAGGGGGCCCGAGTCGGCTGGGAGACACAAAAGGATTCTCAGCAACTGCAAAGAGGATGGAGACATTCCAGGAAAGGGGCTAGCCTGGCTCCATGCATGGAGACAGGAGAGGGAATGGTGGTGAGATACAGGAAAATGCCAGTAGTCCCATGTGGCTGCAACCCATTGACTGAATGAGTCACTGAGAGTAAAGCCGTCTAAGCCTAAAGGCCAAGGTAAGGAATTTGTATTTTATGAGAGAAGGGATCAGGAGCCCCAGAAAGTCTGTAGTCAGGGGAGGCCTATGGTCAGATCTATGGCTCGGAAAGGTTATTTTGGCAGTTGTGTGAAAAATGGACTCCCGAGATGAGTCACCTGGAGAAAAGCATCAATCATTAAGCTTTTACAATAGATGGAGGGAGGGAAGAAGAGAAAGTCAAGAAGAATTTTAGCCCTGTGAGCGGAAAGAAGGGAGCCGAGGAAAGGGGCCCTCTGGACGCCGGGGGAAGGAAGAGGCAAGATCAAGGATGGCCTGGATGGCCTGGAAGATGGTCAGACTCCAGAGAAATGAAACTTTGGAGGGGAGGCAGGATTGGGGCAACAAGCTTCATTCCACTTTGAACCTGGAGCAATTGCAGTGCTGAGAGGACAGAGAGGATGGGGGCTCAGGAGAGAAGCTGGGGCTAGAGTTCTAACTCAGGGTCCTATGCATAGGGATGATGTGGAAGCAGGTGAGTTCACAAGGTGAGCCATCATTCAGAGAGAAGAGGAAACAGGCCATGGCCCAGCAAAAGACTCGGTGAGAGCACGAAGCCGTCTAAGGACCGTCGAGGGCCAGGGAAGAGAGAGGAGCCGACAGTCAGTAGCGTCCAAGGCCAGAGTAACATCATGGAGGACAAGGCCTGAGAAAAGGCCACTGGACTGAGCAGCTGGGCATCAGGGGTGGCCTTTGAGAGAGCATTTTCAAGGAAGGGATGGGGTCAAGATGTCAGCTTGCAAGGGGCTGGTTGGTTCTGGGGGTTTTTTTATCTTACACTTGAGCCTCACACCCCCTTCCCAAAAAAAGTCCTCTGAGCTACACAACACACCAAAAAGGGTAGGGAAGGAGGGTGCTTAATTAAGAGTGATTATAACCATTCAAAAAGAATGCATTCTTAAAATGAAACATTTCAAAATGTCACAGTTCACCTAAAAATAAGTCTTTTAAAAAATATGCGACAGTCTAGCAGAGCAGAAAAGATGATCTGTGAAGGCAGGGGCTGCTTTGGCAACTTGGCATCTGCAGCACCTTGTCCCAGGCCTGGAGCCCAAGAGGGGTGCGGCAATGCTTCCTGAAACCCCACAATCCTATTCCCAAGCCACCCAAGGGGAAGGCCCAGAACAAGATGGCAGATGCCCTCTTCTACGCCTTTCCTGGTTCTGACTACCTCTGTTCCCTGCTACGTCCATGAAGACACAAAGGAACACAAACGTGCATTCTCTTCAGAAGGACTTTGACAGAAAGAACACAGAGCCACTTAACCAGGATGATATTTTCCTCTTTCAAAAACTTCCTACAGTGAACACTCATTCTCTATTCAACTAAAATACAGAGGAAAAGGCCAATGAGAAAGAAGAAAACCTAACACATACAGTTCTTACAACGCATTTGACACATGACTAGGACAGATGCGATGACCAGATGTTCCTTAAAGATGCCCTAAGATGCAGGGCCTGGGGAAGCACAGAGACCCTGTCCACACTAGTACGATTATGCTACCATAAATAGAGAGGAATAGCCTTTCTGAAAGGTCTAGCCAGAGCCCAGATTTGAAAGACGACTCCCTCTGTCCAGATGCTTCATTCCTGAAGAAAGCAGAATTCCAGCAGGGCAGTAAAACAAGGCCACTGACCCCCGACCTCCAACTTACTTGAGCTGAAGCACCTGGTCTTCCATCAGAGATATCAGAGGAGAGACAACGATGCCGATTCCGCCGACAAACACGGGAGGGAACTGGAAGCACAAACTCTTGCCGTACCCTTCCAGTGAAAAGGCCACAACAAGACAGATGAGGACACCAACCCCAGATCTAGCACTCCCTGCACAAGGGCTAAGGGAGCCTCTTCACAGGCACGTGGGCCTTCCATTCCCCATCCCTCAGAGCAGCCACCATGGTCTATTTCTGAGCATCCAAGTCTAAAGACTCAATAAGGAAGGAGCTCTTAATCACACTACAGTTTCAACCAAAAATATAAATTTAAGGGGTGGCTAGGTGGCACAGTGGATAGAGCACCAGCCCTGGAGTGAAGAGGGCCTGAGTTCAAATCTGACCTCAGACACATAACATTTACTAGCTGTGTGACTCTAGGCAAGTGACTTAACCCCAACTGCCTTGCCAAAAAAAAAAATACACATATATATACATATACATACATATACACACACACACACACACACACACACACACACACACACACACATATATTTAATACAGAAACACTGTTTAGCATGACATACCAGTCGCCATAACTACGAGATTATCTCTTCTTTCTTCTAAAACAGAATGGATCACTTTCCACTGCATCCTTGCAAGAGGGGAGGGGGGAAATGGGGAAAGCGGACATTAATTAACTGATAAGAAACATCAGGACCCCACTGCCCGCCCAGGTCACTCCTCACCATCCATCCCACATCTGTCTTCAAAGCCCCTCGCTGGTGCTGTCTACCAATGGCCGGTCTGTTCAGCCGAGCAATTATACCCAAGCAAGATTCAGCATCAGGAGACTTCCTCATTGAAACATCTTTTTATTTAATCAGCACAGAGCAAAAATTTGACTCAAGACAACTGGGTGTCCAACAGAAAAGAAGTGGAGCTTAAAGCAGGCCTGAGAAGCCTGAGGCACAGGTTAGAATTGACTGGAGGGGAGCAGGAGTGCCTCCATCTGCTCCCCAGAGACTTCATGGAGGGGTCGCCTCCTCGGGATCACTCCCCAAAGGCAAAGATTTAGCCCAGCAGAGCACTTGATACCGAACTGCAGGGGAAACTTTAGTGCATTTTGGAGTTAAGTAGCAGAGAAAAGTCAATGAAACGAATGTATTTGACAAGAAACCTCTGAGTGCGCTCTAAGGTGACAGGCCATTCCACACTATGGGAAGAGCAGTCCGACAGGAAAGACAAGGTCAAAGCTAAACGAAGCAGAGCCGCTGCTCCTGGAGCCCAAAGGCACGGAGCAGGCCCCACTCTCTAACCTGCCCTCACTCCAAGGACCCACACTATGGAGCCCCTAGACCCCGAAGACCAGCCCTCACATGGTCTTCTCCCACAGGATGGCTACAGTTAGTGTATTCTCCCCAACGGCAGGCTGTCTCTCCTACATCTACAGGCACATGCACACACACAGGCAGGGACGTACGTGTGTGTGTGTGTGTGTGTGTGTGTGTGTGCATGTTTGGGGGGGGGTGTTTACTGGCTGAGGATGACAGAATATTAGGTTCAGAGCTGGACCCATCAAATCCAATGCCCTCAATTTACAGAAGAGGGAAACTAAGGCCCATGGGGGTAAAGTAAGTTGGCCAGGTTTATCATATGGCTAGCAAGTGTCTGAAGTGAATTTGAACTCAGGTCTTCCTGACTCTAAGCCCAGTGAGATCACCACTACTCCAAGCTGCCTCAGCAGCAGACACTCAATAGACATTTGTTGAACTTAAAAGGTAACTGCAATTATTTCTCTATTCAAATTAGTATCTGTGAATGCGCTATCTTCTTATTAGCAATAACCGAAATTCCTGAAATCCAACTACGCCAGAAAACATCACTGGTAGGGAGGCAGCCCTAGGAAATGAGACACATTATGGCTTTATAACCATGATTAAGGTTTTCTCTCTGCAGTTTTCCTCATTAAGAAAAAAGTAAGTCATTTAGTTAAGTAACAACATACTCACGGTTTAAAGTTGGAATGGCCAAAGTAGGTCTTTAGGCAAACGATTTGCTCTGCAGTAGGTGTCGGTAGCGAAGGGTCTTAAAACAAAATATTTGAATTTAAGTACAAACAGAAGAATATTTTAAGGTAAGAGAAGGAAATGTAACTTTTATTCTTTTTTTAAAAAGGAAAGAAAAATCCATTCTCCCTGCTTCAAATCCCCCTTCCCTCCAGACTTTACACCCTCCCCAAGTGGCAGCCAGATGATGTCATCAGATGCTGTTCGGATCACATGACTCTGACCCAAACTCTTCAGCCGCTCGCCAATGCCTTCAGCTCAAAGTCACAATGTCCCACAGGCTCGTCCACTCTCCAGGCTTCTTTCCTGCTGCCCCGCCCCCCACCACAACCCTTCTGCTGCAGTTTCAGTATTCCCCTCAGCCTTCCTCAGTCCCACTGGAGACCTCCAACCACCTCTGACCCCACACTGGCCAAACCCTCCAGGCTTCCTTGCCGCCCCTCTGCAAACCCAAACGATGGCCCAGCGTCTGGCACAGGTCCAGGCTTATGCTTGCACTCAGTGACGCTCCCCCACTCCTCAAATTTGTTCCCACTTGCCATCTCCCTCCTCCCACTAGGTAACGAGCTGGGACAATCCCTCCATTTTAGTACAGGAAGAAGCCAGGGCCCAGAGAGCTCAGATGGATGCCAAGGCACGAAGCAAAGAGGGGCCTCACACCAAAGAAGGGGCTGCTCTACCCTTCCCTCTGGGTGGCTCGTCACCCAACTCAACAAGATGTTCCTTGAGGTCAGGACAATACTGTGGGACTCGCTGGATGCCCAGAGCAGACACACATTTTGCCAGGTGACCCAAGAATCAACAGGCACTTCCAGAGGCCTGGTTCACAGCCAGGCCTGCAAAGAGGCAAGCAGAACCTGTGGGAGCTGCTGCTTCAACTTTGGTTTCATTTAGCACACTCCAAGCAAGATGCCCCACTCTCACTCAGAGAGGGCCAGGCCGGCATGGGTATCCCGCACAGGGCTCTAACCAAGCACTGCATGTCTCATACAGGAAAACAGAATCTAATGGACCCCATGGATTTCATCCCCCTACCCCCTCAGCTCACGTGCACAATCAGCCCACCAAACTGAATTAGGGAAGGCCTCCCAATGAGAATCCCAAGATGTTAAAGCTGCCACAGACCTGAGAAATACCTAGTGCAATTCCTTTACAGATGAAGGAGCAGGGTCCCAGAAAGGGGAAGCAGCCAGCCCCAGGCCACGCACAGGGAAAGGGGCAGAGCTGGGAGTCAAGGCCAGCTCCAGGACAGTGGGGCCAGTCTCCTGCTTCCCATACGTCTAGTGTGAAAACGAGCTCTCGCTCCATTCCATCCAGTCACAAAGTCCTGGAAAGCAAAAACTCCCTCACTCCCTCTTTACAACACATCCGGTATGTCTGGGAAATGGGCATGAAACCTTTCCTTTGCCTGAGATCAGGAAGTCAAGGACGTTAGACAGAATGCTGGGTCATTCCTGGATCACCACACTCTCTTAATGGCCTTGGAGAAGGACTTGGAATACAGGCTGAGGTTCCAACTCCAGGCTGGAATGCAGGTGTCCTTGTACCCTATCCCTAAAACAGAGATAATATCAGTACTGCCTGGCTCACAAGGTACTGCGGAAGGCAGGGGCCAACCCTACAAGCACTACAGAAGGTGATTTCTTATGTGCTCCCCATCACTCACCTTTAAAAAAAAAAGTTCTCCTTAATGTAGGCTGACTAAATTTTACATCAGGAGAGCCTTCTATCCACCCCTCAGACCACAAGAGAAGACTCAAGTATGGAGGCCTGTCTTCTACACACACACACACACACACACACACACACACACACACACACACACACAATCTAGAGCAGATATCAATAGTGACAACCCCATTCTCCTTTACCCCATTCATCTTCCTCTTCTTCAATAGCTTCCTCGTCCCCCTCATCGGCAGCAACCCCAGCCTTGCCTTCTGTTTCTGGCACATTCTGCTTCAACTTGTCACAGTCCAAGTCTTCTAATGACTGAAAAAGACAAAGCAAACCACCCCCCGTGGCCACCTCATTTTTATCCCCACATCAACGGGAGGCTGTTCCAAGATGGTGCATGAGCCAGCCCTGATCCCAAGGAGTCTAGAGGCTGCCCTCAAATCACAGGCTTCAGAGCCACAAAGAAGGAATGGTTTCCAACTATGATTAATACATAACATAAAAATCCCTGAGAAGGGAGTTAAAATACATTTTGTCTTCTAAGACTAAACTTTACTTTTGACGAAACTTGGCAGAAATGTTGAGGGCTCCAATTCATTTTTTTAAAATAAGTCACTACCTCAAAGAAAGACAAAATTTGGATGAAAATATTGGAATTAAGAACACAGATGAAATGAGATAAGACTTCTCCTATGCCAGCTACCTTAATGGGCTGGTCTCCTTTCAGGAGTCTCTTAGAGGTAATCCTGTCTGTGTCATCAAATACCCTTCACAACAACACCCATTTACTTTTCTACTACAACATCAGAACCAAAAACATACTTTAAGCATCTGCATTTCCAGATCTTCATCACTTTCAATGACATAAGAAAGATCATGAGCATCCATCACGGAAATTAGGTCCTGGGGGAAAAACATAAATAAACGATTGTTTGATTTGAATTTCTAGCATTCTTTCTTTTCTCCTACAAAACCCATTTACTATTTGTTTTGTTTTGTTTTGTTTTGGGGGGCAATCAGGGTTAAGTGACTTGCCCAGGGTCACATAGCTAGTGCACATCTGAGGCCTCCTGATTCCAGGCCCGTGCTCTCTCCACTGTGCCCCACCACAGACCCAGAACTCATTCACCGCTGACTCCACTTATCAAAAAAAGGTTTACAGAGAGTCTTGTGCCTTAACATCAGTACTTAACCCAGTGTCACAGGAATGATTAGGAACTGACTCCTTCATTCAATAAACACACGTTAAGCACCTACTATGTGCCACTGATAGGAATGGATCTGAATGAGGGATGTCACTGACAGGGGAAGACCCATCTGACCAAAGTCCCTCGCCCGAGCGGGGCTGACAGCAGCTCAGCCCCCTCCAGTCTGAGAACCCTGCCAAGAACACTGTGAAGGAACTGAAGAGTTAGCAACCTGCCCCGGACCCCAAAGCCAGGCCATGGCGCCATCCTTTCTGATCTTCAGACTAGCTCTGTCCAGGCCCGGCTGCTGCTCACGGATGACACAGAGGCAGAAAGCCAACCTGTTTCCACGCTCTAAGCTGCAGCGGTCATTTGCACAAGACCAGCTTGATAGCTTTGGCATCATAAAGCTGTCTTGTGACCCCCGTACGAAGGCCTGCTGCCTGGTTGCGGCTCAGCCAGAAAGACAAGGGTTCACTTCCCAGGAGCTACAGTGAGGCTCCTCACCCATTTTTCCCATAAACCATAAATCGCCCACAAACGTCTTTCCCTCTTTATTCTGCGTGTCCTTGTTCATAGGCTGCTTGATGCCCCCCTCCTTACACCCTGAGCTTCCCAAGGGGAGGACCTTGTCTTCTGCCTCTTCTTGTATCCCCAGTGCTAAAAGCTCAATAAATGTTCACTGACTGAATAAACCTGGGGTATACAGGCAAGGATATTCACAACACATACAAAGCAAACACAAAGTAATTTTGAAGGCAAGTAGAAAATACAAAGCGGTAAGATTTTGATCCTAACCCATGTATGAGAGGAAAGCCAGAAAGGCTACCATTCCTTCTACTGAGAAGGATGGTTTTTCCTCATCAAGAAGCAATCAGTTTGGCAGGACATTGTATTCTCCACACCTTTAAGCTAATTGTTTGACACTTAAAATGCCTTCTGCTCATAACAATTGCCAAAGCCTGCCAATTTCCTTCTAATGATGTAAAAGAGGATATGCCCTTGAGGCGCACACATGTGCACACCCACGTTCAAGGGTTCTTCACCTATTTGTGCCACAGACCCCTTTGGGAGGCCAGGGAGGCCTAGGGACCCTCTCTTAGAGTAATGAAGGAAATGCTAAGTTTCCATTGGCAGCTAATGGAAACAAGGATGTAATTTTTTTCCATCCAAGTTCATAGACCCCTAAAATCTCCCATGAATCCCAGACTAAGACCAGCCTCTGGGGCAGCCAGGTGGCGCAGTGGATAGAGCACTGGCCCTGAAGTCAAGAGGACCTGAGTTCAAATCCGGTCTCAGATCAAACACTTGACACTTACTAGCTGTGTGACCTTGGGCAAGTCACTTAGCCCCAATTGCCTAAAAATAAAAAATAAAAAAATTTAAAAAAAAAATAAATTAAGACCAGCCTCTGCCCTGATAGAATGCAAGCTCCCAAACACAAAGGGCCCCAGCCACCAGCAACTGTGAATTGTCTGCCTCAGATATGGGTAAAAAAAGAGAGTAAACCAACTCAGAGCCTGAGGCTAAATGTACTTTTTTGGGGCCTGAACAGTAATGGATTTGGAGTCTAAAGACCTGAGCTCAAATCCTGACCCTGCTACTCACTGGACCTCAATTTCTCATCTATAAAATTGGAGGGGCAAGGTGGATATGATGACCTCTGAGGCCCCTCCCAGCTCTAGAGGCAAAAAAAATCTCATCATGCAAATTACCTAGAAACTGAAATTCCTTGAGTAGAAGGAAAAGGCTAGGCAGCAATTACAATAAGACAAAATTATGACCATCATGCATGCTTTCAGGGGGACGATGAACTCAGAACATAGTCTCTGAAGCTTAAGAAAAGCCGACATTAGTGTGAGCAGAAGTCTCCTGGGGCTAAGACAAAGAACCTCTCCACCTTTGGGTGATGTTGTCGTGGTAAGTGCAGTAAGTAAACTGGCCGTGAAGGCCAGGGAAGCCTCGGCCTGTCTGAGTGGCTGATGGGGCCCTATGGCCCACCTCAGCCCAGCCCTTCTGCTCAGGGACACTCCTGAGGAAAAGACCAGAGGGGGACAAGCAACTGTGAAATACAGACACCAGGGTCAAGAGAAACACCAAAAAGCCCTCTGCAGGCACGGAGATCCAGGGTAATCATCAGAGGCCAAAGCAGGACCCCGAGAAGACAGACAGCCTGGCCTCGCCAGGGCTCACTTATATTGGGGTGAGCAGACACTTACACAAAGTGGGAGAGAAAAGGAGCACGGCCCATCACCACGCTGCCTGTGTGCAGACACAAAGTGCCCATCTGGGGAGAGGCCGGGGGGAGCTGGCCAAAGGCGGAGACCTGCAGCCTGCACCGAGTCAGTCACTAACCTGCATGGGGTTTTCTCCTGTTCTCCTCTAACACATAGGATGCCAGCTGGTGACATCCACGAGGATTTCTGTGGAGGGCCGCGCAAGCTGACCTCAAAGACGGCGCTAGGAAGTACCTGGTCAGACACGTGCGTGGCTTCACTCGCTTCTTCCCGCGCCTGCTGCTCCATCATCTGAAGCTCATACTCAGTCACATCCAGCGACATCAAGCAAACCCTTTCCCCGGTTTCTTGGGGTCTCTGATCCTCTCTTCCACCTTCAGACCCACCCGTGGTCAGGTCCGCTGCATCGTCCATCCTAGTTCCTCCTCCACATTCAATGAAGTCACTACCATTTGCGTCCTGCCCGCCATGTTCTGATACGGCCTGTGGCCCATCTCCAAATCTTCCCGGCTCCTCCTCAGATGCAGGGCCATCGTCCGACGGGGGGTCCGTGAGGGGTCTCTCCAAGGTGGGAGCCCCAAGCAGTGCAGTCCTCAATGCCCCCAGGTCTTCTGAAAGGCTCTTCAGTAACTCGGTAACTCTAAAGAGCAAAGAGCAGGAGAGGGAGAGAAACGGCACACGATTAACTGCACCGCCACTATCAACGCTCTGTGCTAACAGTGGGGCCTCAAAGCTCTCTCCATCCCCCATCTGCTTCCACAAAGACGCAAGGCACCAACTCAAAGACCACAAAGAGTACCCCAGACTTTCTGCCAAGTTCTCTCGTCACCAATGACACCAACAAGAGCACGCTTCTGAAAGGATGGACAAAAAACTGGACGTCGGCATGGAGAAGAGGACACAGGCCCCTCCCACACAACCTGGGGCAGAGCTTTATAAGTGACTGACAGCTGGCTGCGTCAGCAGAGCTCAGATCTCTAGGAAAGTTTGGGATATGCATCCAGGACAGACTCTCTGGTTGTCCAAAGACCAGCACAACTGGGACAGAACTTTGTTTTTCCTAAGAATCCTATCATTTTCACGAATACAGAACCACACGATTCCGATGGGGCACCGATGAGCCAGCTGAGGGTCAGCAAGGCCCCCTTCCTGCCTGGGCAGGCCAGCGCTCTGACTGAAGACAGGAGATGTGAAAGGCCCCAATCCCACCCCAGCACCTCTGCCAGGCTGTTCAGAGTGGCTGCAATGCTGCCCCTCATGCTTCTACCCCCCCCAATCCCTGTTCTCCTTGAAGGCTGCTCGGAGCACCTTGGGCAGGGAGTATCTGCTGGCCTCTCACAAATGCCCATCTTTTCCTCCTCCGCTCCTCAAAGCACAGCATTTTATTTTGTGTATACCGAGACGTGCAAATTCCCCCAAGGGGATACAAGCAACTAGAACAGAGAGATGATTACATCTTTGCCTCTATATCCCCAATACCACACATATCATAGGTGCCTGATAAATGCTCAATGATGCACTGATGCTTACAAACAAGCAGCCCTTTGTCCCCATTCTAAGAGGCACTGGTACCTTATGCCTTTGTGTCACGAGGTCTGCTTCTGGCTAATTCTCTCCACCCTGACTGTCAAACGTCAGCTGGTGAGTCTCGGGCTAGGACTCCTCCCCCTTACTTTAAACTGGCTGCTTCAAACTTTGTGAGACAGGAAACAAGATCCCCAAGTACATAAGAATGTTGTCTAAAATGAGAGCAACTAGGCTCAGAGGACAATTTCCTCATCCAACTTCCTCTCAGGTTGAGGGCCATGCTCTATCCACAGATCACTGCAGGTAAAGAGCAGGACTCAGGTTCATTAGAGAACAACAGAATACAAGCATTCTGACTGCATCGTCTTTCATTCTTCAGCAGAAATGAATCGACTATGTTCTCTTCTCACACGGTCACCAAAGATGCCACCCACAAGCATTAATCTATTCTGCCTTCAGGGATTCTAACAGGTGGAGGAGGCAGGAAAGAAGAATATCTGGGTCGCAGGAACAGGTGCCCCGCACAAAGGCAGGAGGGGCGGGACGGGCACCCTGTACAAAGGTGGAGAGGGCGGGACAGGTGCCCCGCACAAAGGTGGGAGATGGCAGGACAGATACCCCATACAAAGGCAGGAGATGGAACAACACACAGAAAAAAGACCACAGAGCATGTGAAGGGGTATAAAAGGGAGGAGGGGACTGTTGGGAAGGACTTTAAAGACAGGAGTTTCTATTTGATCCTAGAGGAATAGGGAACCACTGGAATGTCTGATTAGAGAACTAACAGAGCTGAGCTTAAGGAAAACCCTTTCGGTGATGGCGGCGGACAGAGAAACTCCAGACAAGGACCCCAAAGAAGGAGCTATGGCCTAGATGAGGCAAGAGGGGTAAGAGGGTCCACAACAGCACCATGACTCTATGGGCACAAAAAGAAGGATCTCTCTGAGAAAGGCCCAAGACGTACCAAGGGGCAGATGGGGGAGCTGCCTGGGTAAACGTGGTGAGAAAAGTCAAGGGCGACACTATGTGGGACAAGTGAAAGTTTCTCATATGAAATGGAAGCTATGCCCCAAAATTTAGTTAAGGCTTTAGCATTAGCTGGGCCTAAGTTTCGTTTTCCTGTAAATCATGTGATCAGGTCATACACCTGTTGCCCACCCCCTCCCTTGTTTTGTAACCACCACCCCAGCCTTATCTTTGCCAAATAAGGCAATCTTCTAGCTTCCAAGTTTGTTTTGGGTAAAATGTATCTCTTAGTTTCTGGGTAGAATGTTAGGTCTCTTACCTCAACCAATGGGGATAAAGAGATTCAGGTTAAACGGTGGGAGGGCAGGGTTTTCTTAGAATTGTTTTGTCTAGGGGTATATAACTGCTTGCTTGCTGCTTGTATCCTGCCTCCCTACTCCAGTCGGCCCTGGGTAGGTGATGCTCAATTCTCCCGTGAGACTTGCTAAATAAAACTTCTATTTCTACTGAGAGAAACCTCTGAATTTTTATTTAGGTAAGTAGTCTCAATCCCACTCAACAGCAAGGCTGCACATAAGCAGCCAGAAGAATGGTGGGGCCCTCAGTCAGGCAATGAACATTTACTAAGTACTTCTGTGCCAGGCGTGACTCAGGAGGGATGAAGTTAGAAGCCCAGTTCATTATGCAGCTGCACCCGCGGGTGTCCTATGCACTAGGACACACTGTACCAAAGCAGGAGGTCACTGTTTATCTCTATTCCCAGCCGCAAAGTCTCTCCTCTGTTTCCTCACTGGCTGAGTACTCTGGAGTGTACAACTTTCCGGTACGCCTATTACACATGTACTCCTTGGCATGTCCTCCCTCCTTTTACATACATCGCATGTTCAGAAAATGGTGGAGAAGTTAGTATTCATGAGTCTATTAAGCAAAGCTTAACCTTTGTCCTACTTACTAACTTCCATCAGCAAAACAAAAGACCAGCTGCACCCCATTTTACTCAGTTACTTTGAGCAGTTGTTTCAATTTTGTGGAATCTTTTGTTCTACTTAACTAACTTCTATCAGCAAAACAAGAGAAGAGCTGCTGTATCCTGTTTTACTTAGTTACTTTTCTAGCTATTTGCTCCAAATTTATGAGAACAAACAAGGCGAGATGGTCTCCGGCCTAGAGGAGCTCACAATCCAATGGGGAATAAGAGACCACAGGAAAAGAAGCTAAAAATCAGGGGGGAAAGGGTAGCTAGCACGGGGGCATGAGGAGGTCCAGAAGGGTGTCACAGGCAGGCTGGAATGAAGAGATGGCCACACTGGGTGAGGAAAGGGCAGGCCCCTGAGCAGGAAGGAGTGACTGGGGGTGAGGGAGTTTCTGGAACACAAGGAAGTCCAGAGGAGTGCAGCCTGATGGGATATGATAAGGTGGCTGGCTCTCAACAGAAACAGGTGTGCTGGGAAGATGGGGGAGTTTGAGAAGGAAGAGGAAGAGTTCATTCTGCAACATGATGAATTTGAGATGTAAGTGCTGTAAAGAGCCCATGTTTCTGAGTAATAATACTTAGCACTTCTACGGTACATTGAAGTTTGCAGAGTGGAAATGTTTTGCATGACTTTATATATATAATCTATATCAAATTGCTTGCCTTTTCAAGGAGGGGGAAGGGGAGGAAGAAGGGAGGGAATATGGAACTCAAAAAAAATGTTCAAAAAATTGTGTTTACATATAATTGAGGGAAAAAAATAAAAGAAAAATGTATTTTCTCTTTTAAAAAAAAAGAAGTCTGCAAAAAGCTTTACAAACATCTCATTTTACCCTCACAACGACCCTAAGAGCAGATGCTATTATAATGGAGGAAACTGAGGCAGACAGAAGTGTGGTGATTTGTCCAGGGTCACACAGCTGGTATGGGTATGAGGCTGGATTCGAACTCAGGTCTTCCTGGTCCGGGTCCAGCACCACCTAGCTGCCAGTAATAACCATAATTAAATAATGAAACCAGATGCCAAGACATGACTGCTTGATACGCTTTCCTAGCACACCCACAGAAGTCCTACAGAACAGGGTGGCCTTCTTTACCCTCTCTGATCAGAGACGTATCCAAGGAGATGACAATCTCTCATTTCCTCACCAATCAGAGCGTGGTAAGCAAACTCTCGGGCAGATCATCTTTCCTTCCCAGCACCCTTGGAAAGAGACCATCTCCCCATGTCCGCAGCACACACACCCAACCCAAAGAACAAGACAGACCGGTAAGAAAGGACCTGCCTCTGTGGCTCGCCGCAGGGTCTCCAAGGATGGGAAAGATGCTTGCTTAGATCCATCATCTCTTCAGAGAGCGACAGCAGCTGCTTCTTCACCTCCTCAGGACATCGGTCCCCCTCTGGAAAAACCAGGGTTACGGTCATCAACCATGCTGCCAACACTAATGCTGCCCAACACTGGGGTCTACACACTAATCCAAGCCACACACATGCCCTCTTCCCCGTCCCATTCCACAGTAGGGATGTTAAAGATGGCAGACCACGATGAGTATAATGCACATGGGTCAGAAGCAAGAAAGAGGTTCATTTCACCAGCCAAGAACACACATTCTCTCTCCATAGAGTTCCTCTTGTAAAGTTTTGGGGTGCACCTCTCACTTCCTGTAATTTAATTTGCTCTTAAAATATGCTTTAGATGATTTGATTATCTTTTTTAAACTTGACCTGGATTACAAACTAATCTATAAAAATGCTAGAACCACGACAGTTTAAGAGGAGCTCAGCTATGAGGCAATCTCGTCCAAGAGGAAGGAATTGTTAACCTGCTTGGAGAGGTCACAGCAAACCGAGCTCAAGTGCCCCGAGAATCAAAAATGAAGACCCCAAGACCCAGATCCCAACAAAAGTCACCAGAGTCCTCAACACAGTTACTTCAGCAAATCTCTGTGAAGCCCTTACTGCATTCAGGTCAACATGGGGATGGCTGGGGTCTAGGTTGGTGGCTTTTGGACAAGATCTGTGATTTCATAAGTGTGAGGGAACCCCCCCAGGCCAAGACTGACCAGGCTTTCCAACCACGGCAGCCTACTGCTGCCGTGAGCCCATGCTCCTTCACACTCTGGGCCACATGGATTAATACAACCACTGCTTCTGCCCCGTAACCACTCCCCATCCCTTACGTCTTCACTCCTCCAAGGCCACCCTGGCCCTCTATGTGTGGGGACACCAGCCTGGGGGCCAGGGACACCTTCCTTTCTGTATTTAGCTTCCTCGCACTTCATTCACAGGGAACAAAAGCCTGCCTTACTCAAAGGCCAACTTTCTATCAGCCCAGGGTCGAAAAGACAAAAGAACACAAAACCAATAATCCTCTCAATTTATCTCCAATTTCAATCTAAATAAAGACAACGAGTGGTTAACGAGAGCTTCAGGTCTATAGCTCACCCAGCTTGCTTCACTGTTGATGGCCTACTTTCTTAAGAGGTTTTAAAAAGTTAGAAACTGGGTCTAAATAAGCCTTCATTGTCTAAGTTTTCTTCTCTACATCACAGCCTCCAAAATAAAGGGAAAATATCACTAAAACAGGAAGAAAAGTTGCAAAAATGACACTCAAAAGTTAATCAAAGTAAAGTAGTTTCCCACACAAAACAGACCAGAAAAAGGGTAAATTCTAATGGAGACTATTAAGACTGACTGCATGGGCTGCCCAGTCCTGGACCAGACGATGCCCTGAGTCACTGTTTGTGGGCACTGAACTGAGGCTGAAGGGGGGGGCCGCTGGGGACAGCACGCAGCCTCTGGCAGTCTCCAATGCTCTCGGCAGCCACTTCCTCATTCCTGTCTCTGGTCTGTTGTACCAGACCACAAAACCACAGGTTCCAGCATAACGGGGCTTACTTCATCCAAAGATGAAGAATGCTAAGTGGTCTACACAGCCCCGCTGTCTTCATGCAGGAAAGGACAGAAGAAGTCCCCAAAGCAAAGACTTCTTAAATACAACCAAGAGGCATCTGTTAGCACTGGGTCACAGGACATGGTTCTCTGTGGCGTAGCTTGGCACGCTGAAGACCCTGGGCTCAGGAATGCCAGGCCATGGCAACATCAACTCTGCTAAACAGTCCTACCCAACAGGCCTGACAAAGAAAGGACTTGGGGGGGGGGCACGCAGCAAGGTGGCACAGTGGATAGAGCACTGGCCCTGAAGTCAGAAGCACCTGAGTTCAAATCCAGCCTCAGACCAAACACTTGACACTTACTAGCTGTGTGACCCTGGGCAAATCACTTAACCCCAACTGCCTTTTAAAAAAAAAAAGAGAGAAAGAAAAAAGAAAGGACTTGGGGGAGATCAGCATTGGAGCTGCCAGCAATTGGCTGCAAAGTGATGAATGCTTCTGGCTGATGCACTTCTACCAGGGGAAGGGAATAAGCATTTATTAAGCACCTGCTATGTGCCGGGCACCGTGCTAAGCACTTTACCAATATTACCTTATGGGTAAGGTACAAGGACATGGCACACACAAGCAGCGAGACAGAGGAAATGGGCTACCAAGTCCATCCAACTCACAGCTCAGGTTAGCAGGAACATGGAGGTGGCCCCCAGTGCCATCCCTGCTAGCGTGGCAGGAACATCCTCAGTTGGGCGGTCAGTCTCACCAGGCGCCTGCTTCAGCGGCTCAAGAGCAGACAGCCAAACCACTGGGTCTGGTTAACATTTTGGCTATCAGGATTTAGGGGGAAATTCCATGTGGAACCAATGAGCTGTGCCTGGCACACTGAGGGACAGAGCCTAAGCATATCATTCCAAGTTGGACAGGTGAAGAGCAGGCACCTCCCCTGGAGATAGGCCCTATCACCCTATGCAACAGCTTGGCCAGCCTTCTTAACTGTGAATGGCCTAGCTCCTTCTCCGTTAGGCCCTAAGCTCCTCAGGGGCAGGGACCGTACCGCGTGAGGCCTCTGTGTCCCCAGGGCCCAGGACGGAGCACGTGTTCCATAACCACCTGCTGACTGACTGGTGAGACAGCAGCACCTCTGCCAAGCTCTCTGCTGGTGCCTGGTACTGCTGGGATGAGCCGAGACACAAACGCCAGACGGGGCACATCAATGTCGAGTTTCAGAACACTGCCCGTTGCGTCCCAGAGGGCTCATAAGACAACTCACCGGTTTGTGTCAGCAGCGTCTGCTCAGCTCCACTCAAGGTTTCCAATTTTTGGTGAACTATGAGACTAGCCTACAACAATAAAGAAAACAGAGCAGAAATCGTCAACAAGGGATCCTTTCGATGCCAATCTGCCCCGTCCTGGGGGCAGAACACTCAATAGTCCAGTCTGGGGCACAGGCGCAGATCTGAATCCTGCCCAGCATCAGCAGCACAACGTTCCGCGTCCTGGCCGCACTTCTCGCAGCGGCCATGCTGAACCTCCAGCTCCACAGACTCTCCACTCCCTCCACAGGCCTACTTCCCTCCCAGTCCACCAAGCACTTCTCTCCAAGGACCACCAAAGACCTGGTATTTCCCAAAAAGCACACGCAGGAAAAGGAGCAACCTGTTTTCCTGCTCAAGATGAAGCCTGCCCCAAGGTGCCTACCAGAGGGGATTCCACTCCTGAGACTGATGCCCACTAGGTAAACAAAGTGAATCTAACATAAAGAAAGAGATGAACCGTAGAAAATGAAACCAAAGACCCCAACACAGGGCCACATATCTCCCCGGCCGCAGACACAGAGACAGGCACTGACCCCCCCAGGCAAGGAAGGCCCCCTCCCAATGCCGGCTGCCCTAGTAAGTGAAGGGGCTGGCCACAGGTAGTTCAGAGGCTGACCTTACAGCCATGCCTTCTTAGCTTCAAAGGCACCTCTCTGCCCTCTGCTCCACCACACTAGACTCCTGGGAGGACATGGCACCCCAGCATTCTTAGAGGCTATGCCACAGCAGGGGTTCAGCCATACTCTACCCAAAGCCGGCCAAGCTCAGCAGCCAGACCAGCCACCAAGACAAGATCTGATGCCCCAGGGCCACTCTGAGAGCATGGAGAGGGGCCAGACACCCGGTGAGCCAACCGCTCATGTGGCTACAAAGACAGCATCTCTCCTCACATTTCTTTCAGAGCATGTGTAGCAGGCGGCCAGAAAGTTCAGCTGACAAGAAAAGCAGGCCCACAGAGCCCAGGAGAGCACCAGGACGTGGACCTGCAGAGCTACAGCGGCGCAAGGGAGAAGCATGACAACACCGGGGGGAGGGAAAGAGAGCCCTGTGGCACCGTGGGTGAGAGGCCACTAGTGTCCCTTCCACTAGGTGGGCCCACCCTCCCACCTCCCACCACGCATGCCACACTGGTTTGGTACAAATCTTTGCCTTGGAGCAGCCGGGGTCAGCTGGCTGACCATGACAGGGGAAGACGCTGGCGAGAGGTCCCGAGCTCCAGGTAAGAGTGTGGCTACAGAGGGCCAGCCTGGGAGGAGGAGGAGGACAGACGTGTTCTCAGAGAAAGCTTGAGTGACAGCAGCCACAGACTACCGCTCCAACTGGGCCTTCTTCTGACTTCAGGACAACAACAATCACTGGAGTTCAGTCATCTGTGAATGGGCACTACTTGGTTAATGGACAGGAAAAAAAGGCAGCAATAAATGCCTTCTGCAGCGCTTTCCACACTAAGCGAGGCTGAACCTGTGACCAGTGAGGAGGACTCCAAGCCAACACAGCAGCCCCGCCCCCTCAGTACATACGTAGGCGTCGATGGCGGCGTACTGCTTCTGTTCCTCGGTGAGTGGGAAGTCCTCCCAGCGACTGCAGCGGACAGACTGCTCCTTCACAAGCTGCTTACTGAAGAGGTGCTTCACCAGGCCGTCCAAGCTCCAAGTCTCTTTACACCTGAGCTAAAGAGCCGTCAAAGAGGAGCACAGACCGGCACTTACAGACGTGGTCCAGAGGAGGACCAGACCACCTGCAGCCTGAGCCTCCAAGAGGCCATCGAGAGAGACAGCCCCAGACCCCGGGCCAAGCCAAGCTCCCAAGGCACAGGGGCCAAGGGGACGCCAGCTCCCAGCTTGGCCTTTTACGGAGGGGAAAATGGAGGCCCAGAGAGAGGGAAGGGATGAGAGCTGGGACTCAGAACCAGGACTCCAAATGCAGGGCTGGGCCACCTGGTCAGTCCAGTTTGAATTCTGGAATTTCCCCAAGCCACTGAAAACTTTTTCATGACAATGAGGTAGAAATGTCCACAAGCATTTCATTTTCTCCAATAAACCATTTGGTAGAGTATGAGGGAGGGGAAGGACAGCCCTACAGCCCATGCTCTTACACCTAACGCCTATAGACACTGCGGGGCTCGCAGTACGCTTCCTGAAATAACCAATGATAGAAGTGGGCAGGACACACGGGAACAAGGAAAAGAATAAGTGAACCCTTCCCACCTCCACCTCCCCTCCCCCTAAAAAACGCACAGGAATCCTTTTTGTAAACCACCTGATCAGTATAGGTCTCACAAAAGGAAGTTAAGTGAGAAGGGAAGAGGTTCGGCTGGAGTGAGCTGCCATGCCGGTGGGTATTGAAGACAGGCTCCCACAAGGGCATGTAAGTCCTGGCCCCTTCTCTGGTTCCCACCAAGGAGAAGCACCAAACCCAAGCGTGTCCCTACCTTCTCATTGGCCATGCTGGCCAGCTCCACAAAGCCCTTCAGGTGGATGTCAAAGTCTCGGAGAAGTTTCCACTGGTCTGCCATTCCCACGCCAGCCTTTTTAATAGCTTCATTCTCCAATAACATCTTTAATCCCTGGGGGAAAACTGAAATGGCCTCTGTGGCTGGTTTCCAGACCTTCTGTGCCCCCAAGAGCTGTCTGTGCACCGTGTCCCCTCCCTGCATCCTGCTTGCCCACCCATCATCTCTCCCAATGCTGTCAGAGCAATCACCTAGTGGGATCGCTCCTCTGCCTGTGTGGCCCAGACCATGCGTAACCATCCATTTAACAAGCATTTATTAAGCACCTACTACCAGCCAGGCACTGTGCTAGGCCCTCAAGGAGCTTACATTCAATGGGCAAAAATCACATACCCATGAGGAGACCCAAAACAGACCCCAAGGCATTCGAGGTCTTTAGCAAGGGGACAAGAGGAGAGGCCTCCTGCAGGCAATGACACCAGGTGGAGCCCTGAAGGACAACCAAGGATTCTCAGAGGCAAGAGGCCAGCATTCCCGCCCTCGGACCCTTGGGGCAACGTATGGACTTGTCAAATGGACTATGTGTGAGGGGAACGAGGTTGGGGATGGGGGCGAAATGACACATTGCTACATAACTCAAGTGTGTAAAGGACATCAGAAGAATGGTACCAACCTGACATAGAAGCCACGTGAAATAAATAGCATTTGCTCTCAGATACACATAACTGAACGAGGGCGACCCTGCCTGACCTGCCCTTCCAGAAGGGTGGAGGCCATTCAATGTCAAATCCAACCACTGCGCCATCAGACAAGCTCACTCTGAAGGGGAAAAAAAAGCCACACTATTAACCCGACATCTTCAATTCTGTAGCACCTTTGAAAGCAGAGCCTTTCGAGTCCACATTCTCAAGTCAGAGACGCGGTCAGGTAACGTGGTGTACACGTTACCTCTGAGGATGCACAAACCTGGGCTAGAATGTATGATGTGGAACCTAACAGGAGGTCCCATTGCCCCAGCAGGGCCAGGCCTCCTGACAAAATGGCCAGGCCATACACTAACAAATTATACCCACTCTACAAAGGCCTCCAAGCAAGTGAAGGCAGAGCCAACCTTAGAACGAAGCCTCCATCTCCTCTTAGCACCCACTGCGCCTCTCCTGCCCACACAGCCCTCCCGTGTTCTGTGTTTGGAGCGGGGCACCAGGTGCGAGGCAGCATGGGAGGGGAGAGGAGGCCGCTCTTGGAATGAGGAAGACCAGGGTGCAAACCTGGCCTTGGAGACTTCCTGGCTGTGTGATCCCAGGCAAGTTACGTCACGGGTGCCTGCACTGGGACTCAGTTTCCTCACTCCAGGTCCCTTCCAACTCTCAAGCTATGACTGATCCTAGGAGCTTGCAAGGGGGTAAAAATAGCAAGACTCATTCATTAATTCAACATAAAACATGGGTTTTGTAGATCCAAGAAGACTGGACAGAGACTTGGTGAAATCAAGGAGGCCAGGATTTGAGTCCTGCCTCTGACACAGACTGGATAACTGGGGGACCATAGACAAGCCACCCGGCCTCTTGGGGCCCAGGCAACCCTCTAAGCCCAGAAATGGCAAAGGAGTCATTCCCTGCAGTGATAAAGTCAAAAGAACAGATCAAACACGCACAGACCCCCAGGGCCTGTTACCTGACGAAAGCATCTCTTCTCAGACTCACCTGCTGCCGCCGGAGGTCTGAGACCCAGAGGTGAACCTGCCCCCGAGGTAGGTCAGTAATACTTGTCCACTCCCACTACCCACCGCAATCCCTTGCCCTGTCCTTGAAAGGATTCCCGAATCCTGCCTGGACCCCTTCGCTGTAACTTCTTGGTTAACAACACGTTACAACGCAGCTTTGAGACTGAATTTACTGAATAGTTTTAGTATTGTTGGTTTCTAATGAAAACACATCTAACCAAGCTTTCTATAGCAACTGAAGTCTCTGTACTTAAAGACCTGGTTTTGGTCTGGCCTCGCGAGTTCCTTAGTGAGAGACGGAGCCTCCCTCAGGTCGGATCTGGCCTCCCCGCCACCAGCACACCAACTGTTCCTCCTGGACAGGATTCACTGGAAATAGGTTGATAACTAGTGGTAAATAAAGGGCTAACCCTATATAAAAACAATGGCCCAACATGAAATAGCTTCTGAAGGACAGGTTTTCAAATCTTCTCAGATTTTGGCTATGTGAATGCTATCCTATAGATTTTTTCATTCTTAAAACATAATAAAATCTGAAAAAGAGGTTCTCCTTACATTGAAGGAGAAGAGGAAGGACAAGCAATGTGGCAAGTGGAGAAAGAGCTGGCCCTGGGGCAAGGATCCTGGATTCCAATCCTCCTCTGCTCCCAAATGACAAGAAGGGGCCACCCAGCCTGTGCTGATATCAGCAAGGCCTCAGGCCCTCACGGAATTCAGGACTCAAGCAGCTCCCCTTCAGAAGCAGAGATACACGGGTCCTGAGGCATCCACGACTCTCACCTGATATCTTCCGCCAGGAAGGAACAATCGCTCGCCTCGTAGCTGTAAATGATACAGCCAGGGAATTCCAGCAGGGGAAGGCCACCTTCCAGAACACTCCTCTGAAGAGAAAACCCACAGGACGTCAAAATCAGAAAAGGAGTTCAAATGACTAGCTTGTGTTTTCTCCACTGACTTTCTTTAGTGAGCTCTAATTATACAAAGACAATTAAACTAACACGTCCTGACCAACTCCCAGTGTGCTGGGCTGCAAAGGCAAAAAAACAAAAAAGGTCCTGCCCTCAAGGTCAGCTGTTCCAGTGAGAGAAGGGGAGAGGGGGAGGAGGGAGATGGGAAGGAGGGAGAAGGGGGAGAGGGGAAGGAGGGAGAGGGGGGAGGAGGGAGAGGGGGGAGGGAGAGGGGGGAGGAGGGAGATGAGAAGGAGGGAGAAGGGGGAGAGGGGAAGGAGGAGAGGGGGAGGAGGGAGAAGGGGGAGGAGGTAGGGAAAAAGAGGAAAAGAAAGTAGAGAGAAAAGAAGAGGAAGAGGAGGGAAAGGGGGCAGGAGGGAGGAAGAGGAGGGGGAGGAGGAAGAGGAGGGGAAGGAGAAAAGAGGGAGGGGACAAGAAGAAAAGAAAGTAGAGAGAAAAGGACAGAGGGAGGAGGCAAAAGGGGGAGGGGAAAGAAAGAGGAGGGGGAAGAGAGAGATGGGGAGGGAGAGAGAAACAGTCCTGAGGGAGGGGGAAGAGAAGGAAAGGACCTTCTATGTGTCCCCCCTCTCAGTCCCCTGTGTTCTGGATTCTGGCCTCATCATCAAACACAAACCACCCTGAGCTCCTCCAGGCTCTGCTGAGAGTTCCTCTGGGCAGGCCCTCGAAGCCTCTCCCGGCTGGCCTCGGCCTCCCATCCGAGGTCCTCTACTCCTCTCCCCATCCACAGCACTCTCAGAGAGCTCCTTCATCAAGTATCATCTCTCTACAGATAACCAAGGCTTAACTTCTCATCATTAATTAACTGCCTGCTGGATACTTCCTGCTAGAGGCCCCACAAGCCTCTCACACTCAACAGAACAGAACTCATTACGGTTGTCCCCCCTCCCTGGAGCTCTCCTCCAAATCTCCTCCCTGTTTCTGCTCAGGGCTCCGCCACCCTTCCGGTCACCAAGGGTCCCGCCTCACTGTCACCCTGGACGCCTTCCGAATCCTGATCCCGACGCCTCCACGGTCTCTCATGCCCTTCCTTTTCCAGTCACGTGCCCACCACACCCCCCCTCCTCCTGGGCCTCTCTGGTCTCCCTTCTACCCTATCCATCCCTCACATAACTCCCAAGATAATCTTTGCAAAGCACACATCTGCCCATGTCCTTCAGGAGACCAGTGAATAAATGCTGGCTGCTTACCTGGATCGTGGTTGTCTGTAGGATTAAATTAAACCCCGGGGCTGAGCGTTGAAGGGTTTCCCAATAGGTTTCTTAACTGTCTTTGCAGCTTTTCTCAGAGTACCTTCAACATACACTGGGTTCCAGCCAAATGTACCATTAGCCATTCCCCAAACCTGATACCCTATCTCCCATCTCCAGACATTTGTACAAGTGGGTCCCCAGGGCCCAAAATAGGTTTCTTTATGTCTACAGCTCAGAAACCTTGGCTTCCTTCAACATGCAATTTGTGCCACTTTCCCTCACACATTAATTATGCCCTCTCCTCAATTTTCCTTATACTACATTTATCTAGTACATCTCTTCAGGACAATGTAAGCTCTCGTGTGAATTATCCCAATCATTTTAGAAAGTAACTTAGAATTATGCTAAGAGAATGATGTACCCTCTGACCAAGGGAGGCCGATGCAGGGGACGGACCCAAGGAGCTCAAAGATCAAAATAAAAAGATCCTCTATAAACCCAATTAGCAGAGCAGCAAAGAACCAGAAACAAAGTACTGCCCATCCATTAGGGAACAGAGAAATGGAGTTCACTGTAAGCAGCAATGAACACAAGGAGTTCAGAGAAATAAAGGAAGATTTGTATGAACTGGTGCAAAAACCCCAGGAAAACAACATAAGCAAAGACCACAGTGATGCAAATAAAAACATGGGGGAAAAATGCCACTAAACCCTGTGTAATTATCATGACCCTGCCTGGCCCCAAAGAGGGCCAGAGAAAAGAACTCTCCCTCCCCTCCCTGGCAGAGCGAGGACCTCTAGGCATGGAATGCACTGGTCTATACCACCAGACTCGGCCGACACACTGGTGTGTTCTGCTGGAGGGCTGCAGGCTGTTTTCCTCTATCCTATTCTTTGTTAGGAGGGATGGCTCAGGGTGGGTGGTGGGGAGAACAGGGAAGATAATGTTGAGACAAGAAGATCATATATACAGAAAAGATGACAACAAAAAAGAAAAACAGACAAAGCTTTCTGATCCAAGGCCCTCAAAGGCCAGGAGTACTACTTCACCCTCTTCACACTGCCCAGGCCTGGCATGGTGCCCCCAACAGTGGGCACATGATCAATCTAAGTGACTCATGAGGATTACTCACAAGGAGGGAGAGTTCTTTGTAAGCTGCTACTCACCAAGTTTTATTTCTCAGTCATCACACAAACGATCCCACAATTACAAGTGAACAATGGCCGATGAGGGAGAGACGCTTGGACAGATAATCAGACTCCAATTTCTCATGGGCCCAGTTCACACAGGAGCATCAGACAATTTAGGTTGTCAACAAAGCCGAAAGCTACTCACAGACGGGTAAACTTAGGAAGAAGCTGTCTACACTGAACACAGCACATTCACAAGAGGAAACACTAGCAGAAAAAAGTCTCTCAACAACCTCATATAAAAAGCATTCCCCACAAGTAACAAACCTTTCTTGTATCGGCATCGCATCCCTCCCGCGGTGCAGACATCCACTCAGGGAGTTTCCGTGCTTGGAGAGTCCTTGTCACCGTATCTGCATTCATCCTGATAAATCTCTGGTCCTTCAAATGAGAAAAAACAAAGATTCAGCCCAGATGGGGAAGGACTTCCAGAGGAAACCACAGGAAGTTCAGCTGGAGGAAATGGGCAACCTGAGCCTGCGAGCTGCAGGTGCCCAGGCAGGGCCCGTGGCTGAAGGGCAGTCATACTAACGAGGAAGCACCTTCCTTCGGCTGGAACCCCTGCGGCTGCAGGAAGAGCGACAGGCAAATTCCACCAGAGAAGACCTGGGCTCAGAGGCACAGCCCCTAACAAGGGATGCTGATAGTGGGATGGACCAGGCAGAGCGCCCAGGGGAGGCGGGACCTCCAAGATCCCTGAGGGCTCAGAAAGCGGAGATTCAGCGGTTCATAGAGTGCATGCATGCGGCTGGGAGGCTGGGAGGAGAGGTGTCCGAGACACCCAGCGTGAACACAGATACACCCAGGCGTGCAGTTGTTACCTAGCTCTCTAAAGCAGATGCCTGTATCCTGCTCCCCACACCATTAAGATGAGCAGGGGTCTGCAAAGCAACGGGAAAACATCAAACCTCAAAAATGTAACTAAAAATATCCACCTAGACAATGGCCTAGGTGATCCCCAAGGTCACTTTCAGGTCTAAGTCTGTAGTTGGGGGAAGGGGGTTGCCGTCATAGAATAATCTTCAACTGATCAACAATGACAATGTTTGGCTGGGTAAAGGACACGTCACCTTATGTTCTCTAGGAACTGAATATCCCATCCCGAGTCATTCATTACTCGGCTCCATTAACCTGTTCTCAGAAAAGTTCAGCAAAGCCACGGGTCGTCATCCTTTTACAAAGCCATTAGGATGCCAGACACCGGACGCTGCGCTGCAGGTCAATCACTCAGCAATGCCACTGCTAGGTCTATACCCCAAAGATCAAAGAAAGAGGGGAAAGATCCACATGTACAAAAACAGCACAGAACTGGAAACTGAGGGAATGCTAACCAACTGGGGAATGGCTGAATGAGGCGTGGTATCTGAATGTGATGGAATATTATCACGCTATCAGGACTGATGAAAGGCATGGTTTCAGAGAAACCTGGGAAAACTTAGACACAGTGATGCAAAGTGAAGCGAGCAGAACCAGAAGAACCTCATATACAGTAACAGCCAGACTATAAAGACTTAGTAACTCTGATCAGTACAGTGATCCACCTCATTTCCAGAGGACTCATGAGGAGACATGCTCTCCACCCACAGGAAGGGTGATGATGGATCCAGAGGGCAGACAGAGACTTTTTTTAATGTGGCTGATGAGGGAATCTGTTTAAATGGACTCTACATGATTGTACCAGGGGTTTTGTTTTCCTTGTATTCTCAACTGGGAAGAGGGAGGGGGAGGGGAGAAGGAAAGAAGACAAATTTGGAACTCGAATAAATCTGAATTTTTAAAAAAGTTTTAAATGTTTCTTAAAAAAAAAAACACCATGGCAAGGGGAACCCATCTCATTCCCAAGGCGCTCAGTTCCACTTTTGGAAACCAGAACCAGGACAATTCCACTCTACTGATTCTGATACAGACCAAGAGACTTCTGATGGGGCCTCCAAACCAAGCTACATGAGGCTCTGTTGAAGAAATCAGGGATGTTTAGCCTGGAGGAATGACAAGAGAGGACCATGGCTGTCTTCAAGTATCAGAGGGGCCGTCACACAGATGACAGGTCTTGGTCCGCTTGGCCCCAGAGACAACCAAAAGCAAGCTAGCCGGCTGGGGGATGTTGCCATGAGGCCAACACTTCGTGTCCGGGAAAACTTCTCCATAACTAGAGGTATCCCCAAGTGGGAGAGCTTACAAGGGACCAAGAAAGACCTCTCCTCGGGTGCAGGCTGTAAAGGAGAGCTGTCTGAGGATGGGCTGGAGGGGATGGACTCCGGGGGTCCCTTCCAGCTCAGATGCTGTGCCCATCGCTGTGCTGACAACATGCCCTGAGGAGGCACCCCAAATGCAGAGGGGCCTGTCTTTGAGGATAATCACAGGAGACAAAAAGTCACCTCCAAACCAACTCAGAGATGCACGGAAGCTGATCAACACAACGCCCAAACATGATTCAAGAGGCCACTCACGCCTCCTGTCAGAGAGGGGATGGCCTCACGGGACAGACTGAGACAATATATTTTAAGTCTTGGCCAATGCAGAATTTTTTGTTTGACCATGCATGTTTGATGGAAAGGTTTTACTAACCTCTTTCTTTTTCAATTCTTTCCACCCCTGCCAGTAGGTAGGAGAGAAAATAAGTTTTTGTCAACTGAAAAAACTAAAAAACAAAATCCCTCAAGTGCCATCACATTTCATTTCCTGACTTCCCATTCCACTATGTACAAGGGCACCAGAAGTAACTGAGGACGGAATCCTCCCACTGGGAAGGATCCACTCCCTGGCTTCCTTTGCCATGCATCGTTCCTGCCAACCCTGCTGGGCCCTGGGGGAAGCCACCCCAAGGGAAGGGCCCGGCTCTTCCAGTGTGCCTGGATCCAGAGAGAGAGGAAAGACGCAGGGTTTCCGACACCACACAAAGTCCCAGCTGTGGACACGTCCAGGTCTAGAATGTGAACAGCAGAAGATGAAACAGGAGCCGAGAGGAGGGTCTGCCCGGTGTGAAGCACTGCACATGTTGTTAGCCTGCAAATATATGTATGTAGGTACACACACACACACAGCACAAAAATATAAACAGCCTTTGACAACTCTCACTTAGAGGAGGGAATAAGGTAAACCTAAGATGTAAATTGGTGACCTCCATTAGGCTTTCAGCCCACAGTATCAACTGAAGAGTTAAATGAACCCTGTACCCAGTGATACAGCAAACTGAGGCAACTGTCTGCCACAATCCTGCTACTAAATTCATCTTTGCTTAAAATGCCTACAAGATATCTTAGGTCCCCTAAAACCTCCTCCTCCAAGCTTCCCCAATACTAGCCAGCTCCCCATGGCACCCTCAGCTCCTCACTCACCCCCAGCCCACATAACCAATCCCTCACCAAGCCTTCCAAGTCTTGTTTTTACTATCACAACATCGCTGCCATCCACTGGTGCATGCTCACGTACACACGCTCACACTCACATACACACATATACTCACCCTCATACACACTCACACACCACTCTAGTCCAGCCTCTCATTGTCTCATTTGAATGGTAAGTCACCTTCCTAATCAAGTAAGATCCTAACTCAGTAGATGCCAGCAATCTCTGCTTCTTCTTGACTAAAATAACAAGCATTTATTAAGAACTTACTGTGTTCACATACTATGTACAAGCCAAGCACTGGAAGTGACACTAAAGCATCCAGAAGCCATCCTGGCCCTGGAGGAGCTTACATTCTCATACAGAAAGGGGGGGCAGGGCAATGAAGGTCTGGCCACGGCAGAGAGAGTCCAGCATCAGGAACAGGGACCTGGCAAAGAAATGGGGCTTCCTCCTGGGCTGCTGAAGACTTTCTCCAGCTGGCTCCACCCTCCCTCTCTCCTCCCTTTTCCGCCTCATTAGATAGCACTACCTTCCCATTCTTCAGGCTAGCCAAAACGGCCCCTGCTTTCTCCCTCACAACACTTTCTTGCTTTCTCTCCCACTTCACGCCTTTGCACTCACTGTATCCCCCGCGCCTGAAATGCCCTCCCTCATCCCTTCCGGCTTGTGGAACCCTTGCTTCCGTGGCTCCACTCGATTCAAGCGTCACCTTCTCCCGCCTTTCCAGACCGTCCCCACCCCCACGTCCCCCCCAAACCTTTCCGGTGCTTATTCCGTATGTGCTTAGAGGGATACATGTCAGCTCCTTGGGGGCGGCAATAGCTTCCCTTTATGCCTCTGAATCCCCAGCACCTACCAAGGGCCTGGAACATCAGCAGACACTTAACCAATGTTGGCTGGTACCTGACTGCTTGGATTCTTATGTCTATATGCTCCCAGACACTCAGCCTAGAATTCAAGTAGTTCACAAGGTCCAGAATATTCAAGCCATTGTTTCAATTCACTGGTACAGACAAAGCCTCCAGGTTTCAAATTAGGCCAGAGTTAAATCACACTGCGCATAAAATACTGCTTTTTTAAATGCAGTTACAATAATGCATTCAGGAGGTATTCCAAGCAGCTCTGAGACCCTCTGAATTCTAATCAGCTAGCCTCCACCTGAAGCCTTCCAATGAAAAGAAACCCACCTTGACCCAAGGCAGCCCCTCCCACACCTGGACAGCCCCAATCATTAGGAAGCTCTTCCTTACACTGAGCTGAACTGTGCCTTTCTGCAATGTCTAGCCAGAGCCCTGGGTCTGTCCTAGGGACCCGAAGGCAAGTCATATTCTCTCTTCCCATGGATTTAGCCCTTTAAATAATCAAAGACAGCTCTAATGCAAGCTCAGCAGCCCAACTTCCTGTGACCAGCCCTCCTACTGTACGGTCCACACCCTTCTATCCTCACACAGTTATCGATGGCCTTCTCCAAATGGGGCAGACCAAAACTGAACACAACACTCCAGGTGTGTTCTGTGCACCTGGCACCCCCCCCCTTCCTCGTAAGCTCTTGACAGGCCAGAGAACTAACGAGGATTCAGGGCTGCTCCGTCAGGATTCCTGAATCTGGTTGAACGTCCTGTCTACCTACGCTTCCTGACTCTGGTCCTTGGGAAGCTGACCTTGTGGACTTCGTGACCTTGTGGACTATAACGTCCGTGGGGTTTTCTTGGCAAAGATAATGGAATGGTTTGCCATTTCCTTCTCCAGCGACTTAAGGCAAACAGAGGTTAAGTGACTTGCCCAGGGTCACACAGTTCATGAGTGTCTGAGGCCACATCTGAACTCAGGTCTTCCTGACTCCAGGCCCAGTGCTCTCTGCACTGAGCCACCTGGCTGTCTTTTATATCCAAGTAAAATAATTCTTATTAAAGGGATAGTCAAGGGGAGAGACGGGGAGAAAATTTAGAACTCAAAATCTTGTGGAAGTGAATGTTAGAAACTAAAAATGAATGAATTAAAAATTTAAAAAAGGAATAGTCAATGTT